TTAACCCTTTGAGAGCTCTTGATCTGTGAAAACTCTATTTCTTTTATTGAGAAACCTAGGGGAAGAGTGGGACATCATCACCAATGTTTAAAAGATTGAATCCAAGATAAGTTAAGAAATTGCGCTTGGGTGAAATCAGGTTAGGATTTTAACAGCCTGTGGAATGTAGGAAGCAGAAAATGCGATGCAACAAATTGCACACTCAAATATTATCGGCTTATTAGCACATCTTAGGGATTGTCGTGTAGGCCACTGCCTTTAGCCTTCTATGCCAAGAGTATGCAGAGTAGAGGGACATGACCTTTAATAATGGCGGATTATAGCATCATAAAGGTTACCGGTAGTTGCTGTGTCATTTCTGTGGTTCATTATCATTTATATTATAGTGAATCTGTCTGGGACTTAACATCTGGCTGGACTGAAACACACTGGAAGATTAAACAGTTTAGAAGCACCAACACAGCCTTTAATCACTTTTCATAAATTTACTTACAATTTACAGATTCCAGAGGTGAAAGGTGAAACCTGGGTTCAAATTCCATCTGGAATGATGGAATGAAATGAGTTTGTATAGTCTCAACCCAGTTACTGATGGATATGAGCTCACAGTTCAAACCTGTTCTGAATTTGGCAGTAAATCTCCCTCAGAGAGACCACAAAACAATTTGTGAAGTGAATGGAAAACATCACCTTGATGCAACACATTTTCAGCTCATTCACAAAAATACCTAAATGACCGTAATAAAGTTACTCAGAGCTTACAGTAATACCGATCCTAGCCCACTTATATAACTATAAAACAATTCACAAAAAACTGTAAATATTGTGTTGATTCTAATGATGATCTCTTAATTCCTTGAAATTCAGCTTTATTTGCTATTCCCTTGCTGACCTTTTAATTTTACCATTTTTCTATGTATTCTAACTTGTCTCTAGCGAGTCCCACTATCCAACTTGGAAAGTGGAAACACATTCTATTAAAATTGATTGTCAATGGCTGAGAACTAGACCATCAGATGGCGTCTGAGGCCAATGCAGAGCAGAAAGTCTGAACGTTGATGGGTCTGTGCAACATCCTGCAATCTGATCTCAATGCCATACTCGCATGTGTTCCTCACAATGTGTTCCTTGCCCTCACATAAATACTTGTCAACAGCCCATGGATTAATATTATACTGAAAAACAGGTGATTTTTATGAAGCTGCTTCTTGCTGACATTCCATTGTAAATTGAGAAAACTAGGTGAACAGCTAATTGTAAAAAGAGGAGGGAGGATGAGACTAATTAAGTTGTGTTTAGGCCACACTAAACTTGAATTTTAAAATTGTAAAGGGGACGCGAGATAAGGAGCAAGAGAGGGCAGCTTAGAATAGCAATGCACTAACATCTCTAATAGTTATCAAAGTGCTATGACACTCTACAGGGAAATTTACTCTGCACAAATCTATATCAGCTCTAAGTGGGCTGGCTTGGACAGTTTAGAGGGTGTGTAAGCCGATACTCTTGTACAATCTCACAAGTAGCCAATGCCCTAAAGAGGGAAGATGAATGAGTCAGCCTCCCCTCACTTTTTCCTCAGGTGTTGGGGTTCCCCAAGTCTTCGAATGATTTATTTTACTGATTTTTTTTCCTCTCTCACGGTTGTGTTTCTGGTTCATCATGTTTCCCCTTCTTTGCTGTTTCAGAAGCAGCAGCAGACATTGATGTCAACTGTAATTTGGTGAACTTGGGGCTGGGAAATGGAAAGCTCTCCCATTTCAGGTATTCAGTGTCAGTGTCATGCACTCCCAGGGCAGAATAGATGGAGAATAAATCGCCCTTGACTCTCCCTTCAAATACTTAAAGAACTGGTACAGAACAGGGTAGAAACAGATTAAAGCTCCCTGAACTCTGTTCAATCAAATGCTCTCAGTAGATGCAGAATAGATGTAGTAAAGATATAACCTCAGAGAAACATCCTGAAATATGCTAGTGTAATATTTTCCACTTCCACACGCCAGTCCTTCATTCTTTCCTTTCCCCCAAAATCGAAAGCACCCAAGCAAGTGTGCCAACGTAGTGCGAGATTAAGAACTATTTTGTGCTGCAAATTGGATTGAAAACCAATTCACACGAGGTGGAGGAGAAATCAGCCCAACCAGCTATCTGAATTGAATTTGAACTCAAAGCTGAGCACTGTATTAGACGACAGCTAACGCATTGGTCACTTGGTCCCGTATTTTGTTTAGCGCTCCGAGATGCTATCTTGTGTGACGGGTGTTAGACAAAAGCAAGCGGATGTTGTTTACATTTAGTGATCGGTAAAATTAGATGTGATCCAGGAATTTTCCATTAGCTGCGACAAATGTAAACGAGTCAGAAGCAAAATCCAGGGGCAAGAGGTGTAATGGAAACAGTTTCACCTTAAATAGGGATAATCATCGCCTACAGAAAGTATTACAAGTATTAGTTGATTCATGTCCTAGATGACTCGTGAGGAGGATGGGGGGAGGAAAAAAAGGTTCAAGGTTAAGTATAAAGATGTAAGATTAGAATAGTGTTTGTGCACTGCAGGAAACATACAAGAATTATTCAAACAGCGCAACAAATTGGGGTGGGGGGAGGAGGGGTTGGGTAGGTTGGGGGCGGGGAGAGAGAAAAGTATAACTGCGGTGAGTGAATACTCAGCAGAACGCCCACTGAATAGTTTGATTACAGTATATTTCAAGCAGTAACTGGTAGATAGGAAATCATTTAATCATTTGCTGTGATGCAGACAGTGTGTGGGTGGGCGGGAGGATTGTAGGCTGACTAGCTGGCGAAGAAAGTAGAATAAACAGTTTATGTAAATAATTCCAGTGTATGTCAGCCTCAAATTGTTTTTATTGTTTTACCAGTACTTTTAAAGCTTGTTAACCCTTGGACTGGTGAATGTACAGAAAATCGCCCATCCTACTGAGCAGACCGCTTCGGTCCGTTTTCAGCACAAAGTACTATTGTTGGTGACAGAATGATAGAATGGCAGTATTTACAATAAACAAGCTAGTCAAGATCAGATAATATCATTACCATGATATAAAACCCATATAAAATATGGTTTCAGGCAATAAATAAATAAATAAATCCTGTCTGTGCTCGGCCTAGGCCCCATTCTCCCTTCTGTCATTCTCCTAATGTTTTATTTTAACCCTTGAAGAATGATTTTACAATTTATTTTATTGAGTGTGTTTGTGTGTGGTGGGGTGGGGGGGTGGGGGCGGAAGGGGTGGCTAGGGCGGGAAGGGTAGGTGGCTACATTACTGGAACATTAGAAATTTTTCTTAGCATCCCTTTGAAGTGCCTGGTGAGTCAAGGGAGTTCCTGTGTGCCTGCAAACTTTCAAAACTTTTACTGAAAAGAGTTTGACCTGAACCTTTTCCATTTCTCGTTCCGCTGTGATGTGTGGTGCATTTCCAAGCATTTTATGTTTTACATCATGGGAATCTGTAGTAGTTTATACTGTAAAGACAGAATTGTGGAATAAAAATTGGGGTAAAAAAATCTGCTCCAAGTAAAAGAAACAAAAAGAAAATTCTGAACAACAACAAATTATATTTGTATAGCGCCTTTCATGTCCGGAGGATGTCCCAAGGTGCTGGACAGTCAGGGATTTGGACCCATACTGGGGGTTGGGATCAGGTGGGGTGGTGGGCAGGGAGAGTAGAGGTGAGAGGGTGACTGAAGGCACGGTGGAAGTGAAGGGTCTTGAGACCGCCTTGAAGGAGGTTATGGAGGGAGCAACGCGAAGGGACTGTGGGACGGATTTCCAAAAGGTGGGGACAGAAACCTACATAAGTAGAGAAAAAAAGTGGCTGAAAGCAACAGCATTTCACTTAACCCAATAGTCAATCATTGCAGTGGAATTGAACATGGATGAGATACCTAAACATGGACTAGACAATACAGTTCACAGACAGTTCTCCTGCCTGTGTACTGTAACGCTCAACTTGCGCACCTGCAATTAAAAGGCTTTTCCCGAATTCTAATCTGAATTTTTCAAGATACAATCTATTCTTGCTCCATCAGGTTAAAAGTAAAATTCTCTCCAATTCATTTTGGTATCAGCCAATCTTTGTATCTAAAGAAAAGGGCTACTTTAGTTTATTTCAATTATACATCTACCGTGTCCAGATCTATAACTTTTACAAGAAGCCTGTTTTAAGTAAACATCTCTTGTCTAAAAATCTAATGAATCTATCGGTTTATTACTGAAGGCATACAGAGATGTGGGAGCACAGGGTTAGTTTTCCTGCTCTGTGCTGGATTAGGGTCAGGATTCCCACTCCAATCCAATTATCGCAACTTAAAATTATTTGTGTATGAACGCGTCAAGTGAAGATAGGATAGCTTCGACTTTGATGCTCTTCTGAGCTCAAGCATGAAGAATGTAAAAAAGTAATAATAATCCTTTCATTTGTGATAGAGTCTTTCACATCAGAAGAATGTCTCAAAGTCCTTCACATGATACACTTTATTTTGTATGCTAGCATGGCAGCCAAGTTACACAGTAATGTCCCACAGCCATGAAATGAATGACCAATTTTATTTGGGGGATTATTGGCCAGGACGGGAGAAACACATTTCACTAATAATATTAGCCTGTTCTTAAAAAAATCGTAACTTCTGAAGGACCATTTAAATACATGGATACTAGTAATAAATTCACTGCATCTCAATGTGTACTTCAGAAAATAAACCACGGAAAATAAAGCCTCAATTGTTAGACGCGTTGTGAGGGTGTTGTTGTTTATTGCACAATGGAGAAAATTCACAGGGGTTTAACCTTCTGGGAACTCAGAGTCTGGTTGCAGTAAGTAAGTGTTGTAATGGGTACCCTCTGAACGGGAGGACCATGTCATATCAGAGGCCGCCCCCAGTTACATTTACCACAGAGAAAGTGCAATGTCTGCATTCTTGACAGTGGAGGGGAGCTCCTCTCTCAGTACCAATGAGAACAGCATTGGCTGAGGCTTACTGAGGGGGCTGCTGGTATATGCAGGCGTGATTCTCTTTCAATTGCATAGTAGACGTAGTTTGTCAAACAGTGCAGAGGGAAGCTGGATTTATTCAGTGTTCATTCATCTTGACATATCAATGGCAGTCTTTTCCTCAGAGATCTGAAAGACCTAATTAATCATGATACTGTTCATCTATCAAGCACTCTCAATCTTTACAGTTTCTCTGTGCAGCAATGTTCAGGGTAAGTGCATTTTTTAAAAAAAAGCCATTTTCTGGAGGGTGTTTAAACTTAGCAATAAGTCCTGGTTGAGATTACTAAATACACAGTGATTTCTGTTCTACTGAGGCTACGTGAAGAGAAGAAAGGGGGGAAATGTCTTGTTTGGAAGGTGGGAATGCATGAATATTCTGCAGTTTTTAACTTCGCTCCCATTAATGTATATAGAACTTTCCTAGGAGATCGACAGGGTAATGCAACCAGTGATCTTGATAGGTCGAATAGCCTTTATCAGCGACTTGGGATATCCTCCCAACGTGAAAGGCCCTTTACAAATGTAATGTGTTGTCATTTTCTCAATCAGTGCTTTCTGATGTTTCTGATGTAATCCCCCAAATAAAATTGGTCATTCATTTCATGGCTGATAACTGCTTGAGTTCCCTCGGTAATGTTTTTTAAAGGGCAGAACTACAGCCAGTTGTTTACTCTGTGTGTCTGTGATTGCAGTGAAATACACGATAAACAGTCTAAATCAATACAAATCTTTTGATACCTAATGTTGTTTTTTTACCAAGTTGTTCAAAAATGATCTTGGTGATATATATTTAAACAGATTTCAGTCTGATGTGGTACAAAAACTGAGCAGATAATTTTTTTCAATACTTCTGAAGAAGTTTAGATATCGGGATACTTATAAAACACAGACAGTAACATTTAGTCAATAATGAGGAGTCCGAAAAGAACTCTTTAGATGAAATTACCTAGATTAGGAACATAGGAGGCTATTCAACCTATCAAGACTGTTCTGCAAAGTAACAGATTAAAGTCTTTATTATATTAGCCTTGGCAAAGGAGAGAATTAGGATTTTTATTCTACTTTTGATAGTGTGATATCCCTAAAACTTAAATAAATCTTACCTTGAACAAAACAAACGGTTAAAATGAGAATGATAATTGCAATTTAAATAGCTTCTTATAATGTCAACATGTCCCAAAGCGCATCACACGCACAGACTTAATTTTGAAGTGCAGTGACTTATGTTAAGTAGGTATACAAACACATCTGACTGCAGAGGAGCTGAGACTTGTGTTAATTCTACATTCTGTATAAAATTTTGACTATGATGTTGTGTCCCGACAAACACCCAGATAGAGAATGGTACAGAGAATTTTGGAGTTATCAGATTGACAAACGAAAACCTAATAGTGGTTCGGAGTCCGCACTGCCCCGCACTGTCAAGGATACTATATAAATGAAAATTGTTGTTGTTGACCTGCCTGTTTTCTGGCCTCAGTTGCACACAATTTAACTTTCAAGAGCATTTTAAAGTAAATGAATTCAATTTGCATCATAGCAAAATTAATTTTAGATTTCTTCAATTATCGTTCCTGACAAGAAAACACTAGCCAAATAAATGTAATCATGCACAGGCCAAGTGTAACAAATTTACGTGAGTTTAATGGACCCGGGACAGAGGGAGTAAGCAGAGGAACAGAAGATTTTTTATACAGTATTTAGACCTCCCTAACTTTAGGGAGTTTGTCTGCTTTCCAGCCAGTGCAACAGAAACTCCACGTTCAGGTGTGTTTGGATTGAACATGTTGTCGTGCAAATCTTAAGTTATTTAACAATATAGGATAGTGCATAAAAACAGCATTTGCAGTTAAAAATGACACTGAATTAGCTGCTCTTATAGGGGGCAAACATTCCACCTAGGTCTGGATTTATGCTATTTATGTAGAATTCCAGAGAGCACAGAATTTTGCTTTTTTTTCAATAAATAGTCTTAATTTGAAGCTGATTTTTCCAAAGTAATTTTAAGAAATCAAAACACAGCTTGAAAGTTAAGACCGAATTCAACAATTTGCCAAATTGCTGCACCCTCTGAAGTGTTAAGAAAATAGAGTAAATCTAGGCCCTGGTAGAATCTTGCTAAGTTCATCTACAAATACACAGTCACTATACTTTAAAGTAAAAATCTTGTAAAGCGTTTTGAGACTTTTCGATGATGTGGTAAGGAGCTATATCAAATGCTAAGGTTATTATTGTGGCAATTTGTCCTCCTCAGTGTGGTAATTTGTGATATATAATAATATAATAATCCTTGCATTTGATATAGCACCTTATCACGTCTTCTAGACGTCTCAAACCACTTCACAAAATATACTGTAAAGTGAATTGACTGTATATTTTGTGATGCTCCAAATCACCTCAATTCCCGAGGGCTAGGAAGGGGAAAACAATAGCTAGAGTTCCTAATATTACCGCAATGTGCCATCTCCTGCTGTAACTCATTCTTTCCCAGGACCTTAAAACTGAAACTCCTTGCCTCCTAATCTCCTCCACTCTTTCCTTCCTCCTACATTCTACTGGTTTTCAGAAGAAGACTTGACCTCACCTAACCACTACTTCTTGACTGCATTATGTTGTCCTTTCTACTACTCCCTTCTACTTTACTGTCATCCTGCTCTGTGGTCACAAGATCACAAAATTGATTTGGATGAAGAAGGCCCTTTGGTCCATCTAATCTCATCAGAACACCCACCAAACTGTCTCCCCATCACAGCATTAAGCTGCTTTTTAAATATCAAACGTTACCTGAAACACCCTATCTGGTAAGCTATTCCATCTGAGCAAATCTGAGCAAAAACAATCCTACTGGTGTCTGTCCTGGAATTACCCTTTGCAACTTATGTCCACTTGTTCTACTGACTTGGTCCACTTTTTACTGTAGTTTTTAGTTGAAAGAAACACAATGTTGTTTTGACTGTGGAGATTAATTAATAAGTAATCCTTATTCTGCCAAAATGTCAAAAACTCCATGGATATTGCCATAGAGGTCTTGTAACATCTCATCTGAAAGATAGCACATCTTACAATACTACTACTTCCTTAGTACTACTGGAGTATCAGCCTAGATTTTGAGCAAACAAGCCATTTCATTCCTCAGTCAACTGACTAGTTCTTCTCTTTACAGACAAGTCTCCATACATCGCAAGACAAGTCAAACAGCACCCTGCAAGCATTGAGAAAAAATGCGGGCAGTCGGCTGTCATCCACTGCATCCTTTCCAACGGGAGCTTCAGTGAAGACTTGCATCTGGTGTGGTACCGATATATTGCTAAACACCAGAGGGAAAAGATTGGAGAAATAAATCTAAAGACACAGAACATGACAGCTGCAAACAATGTCCAGTTACTGTGGAACCCTGACAAACTCTCCGCGGAATTGAGGATTTCACACCTAAAAACAAGCAACTCTGGATCGTATGGGTGTGAACTTGTCAGCTTCAATAACAAAATGAATATAAAAAAAGATCAGCCCACAAACCTCACAGTTACTGGTACGGCTTTAACTCTATCTGGTATTTAAATCAATATTGTCCAGCGTACACGCTATTTAAATATAATAATCTTTATGTTGGGTTTAGTGTGTTTCACTCAAGGACATCCCAAAGCTCTTCACAGGATATCCTGCAAAGTGCAGTAAACCTCTCTCCTCTTTTTCAACAGTGACTCTTAGCAGACTTGCTCTTTGTGCCCTGGACCTACGTTCACAGTGTGTGATGTGGTCCCTGAGCTGGGTTTCAGTGTTGTTTCCTCTTATTTTTCTGTTCTCCTGCAAAAAGATTAGGCGTTGCTAATGAGAGGCAAAGCTAGCGCAGCTTCCATAGAGCAAGTCAAATAATAGAACTACTTTGGCCCTACATTGTCTTCCTCCATCCTTTGGGAAAATGCCTTCTCTACTTGGCTAATATCTAAAGGTGGAATGATTTAAATATTTCCATGTTTAAACTGTCTCCGAGTGATTTTCACTCAATAAGTTACCCAGAATGTATCAATACTTGTGAGAATTGTTTCTTCTCTCTGTGACATGTGACATATGTTCCCCGTTCAAATTGAGAAGATTTTGCAGTTCATTTATTTGTGGTACTGATCTGATATGTTTTTTACCCCCAAAAAACCTTCTGTTATACGTAATGGTGTTTTTTTTTATATACATTACAAATTCTGGAGTGATAAGAACGCGTTATAGAACTGCGGTATTGGCAACGGAGTAAACACTATCACCTTGTTTCAATTCTCCCTCATGTTGGCTTCTTTGGGAGAGGGTTTTGACTACTCAGTGAACATTCATGGTGGAACGGAATCAAAAGCAAGCTATTCTAGGGGCATGGAAAAGAATGAATGATACACATTTTCAGTCTATTAATAAAGTGTTTCTCTCCTTGTGATGCAAAAACATGCTTCACCATAAAATCATATTTAAGGTACATAAAAGCAATTTTCTTTCCCTTTGAAGCCACCACCCTTTCCTGTTGCAATAAGTAGCTTTAGCATATGAATGTAAAAGTGGGGTTAAATACAGTCACTGTTTCATAGAAATAGGCCCAAAAGTGGTGATTTTTCTATAGGAGCTATTTATTCCCACCTCTCCAGAAAGCTTGAAATCCAGTCACTGTTATTGTGTATCGACTTTAGCAATGTTTGATTATAATGGGATTATTTTGTTAGAGGCCTATCATTAATACATAATGGGGGAATAATCCCTCAAAAAAAAATTGGGTCACTCTATTCATGACTGTTTGTGGGACACTGCTGAGCATAATTGGCTGCCGTGTTTGGCCACAAAACACACAGTCAATCCACTTTACAATATATTCTGTGAAGCGCTTTGTGATGGGGAAAAAATTGTTGTTATTGTCTCAACTATGTAACAAGGTGCTATATCAAATGTAAGGACTATTATTATTATTATAACAACCAACTGGAATTTCAGCCCTCAATCTTGTACATATTTAATAGTCTGCATTTTGTGAGCACTCCTAAGAAATATCCGTGTCAGAACTAAAAAAAATTCTTTGTACTAGAACTATGGGACAAGGTTTTGTTAAAGTTATCTATTGTGTTGCTCTGTTTTTGTAAGTTTTTCTTCAAGGTAAGAATATTACACATTTCCTTCGCCTCCAGCACAGGAGGTAAAAAAAATTACAATAGATTGACTCAATGACTAAAATAGCAATAGCAAATAGTTATTAATAATTCCACGCAAACCTGAACTTTGAGTTATGCTGAGTAATGTATTAAAGTGGTATGTATATGTGGAACTTCCAGTTTAGTTTAGATACTCTGAAGCAACTAAATGGATTTCAGCAGCGCGTCAGACACGTAAAAGAGCCTCACCCCTTTAGAGGACAGCCCTAAATGAAATGTATGAAATATGAACCCCAAAAGGTTATGGAACTGATATTGTTCAATTCATTAGATTGGATTAAACAAATTTCTCTACTACATAGGCTCTTGTGAAGATGTTCCCGCTGTAGCTTTTGAGGAGTTTTTCTGTCCAGACTTTGCCTAAGACTTATTGCCATAAAACTACTTTGCCAAATTCCCCACACGTGATCAAAAAGATAAGACAGGTTTAAAAAGACTTAGAAAGACTGGCGGTGTGCGCTGAGAAAAGAAACCCACATTATTTTAAACTTAACATTTCTTAGAAGGGAAGTGCTTCCCTTGCTAGTTTCACAAAATGGAAAATCTGTCTTTCTCGGGCTTTACAAATGTACTAATGTCGGGTACTAATTCATTGTTAAGGTTTTCCTTTTCAATATCAAGGAAGACAGACATCTGACAGAAGAAGCTAAGTAATAAAAGTAACTAAAGTGTAGGTTTCTACAAAGTGTTGATCTGTATCTACAATTTGCAACACTGCTCAATCCGCTTCAAAACATGATAAGAATATTTTTCGCTAAGCCAAACAAGAGAATGAAAATAAAATCTTTAGCAATATCCCTTCAAACTGCTGTGCTGTCCTTTAACAAGGTGTAAACAGCTTTTAAAATACACCGTAAATATCACTGCGTCTTAACCCTCCCTCAGCCAGAATGGTGGAACAGCATCAGAAAGGATTTGCTTGAATAGAAAAAGACAATTTGGGCCCAACAAGCTTGTTGCTTTTTGTCACTTCTCAACCCGAGCTAATTGCTTTGTCACCATATCTCACAATCCCTCCCTCTACAGAAATGCAATGAACAGCTTTACCAATAGTCAGTTGATAAAGGCATTGAGCAGTGTGGAACCGAGCCACGTGCGGCAGGATTGTCCCATGTTCATTCTCCAATCTGCAATGGTGATGGTGGAGACATTCTGGTGACAATCAGCCCCAAAACTCAGCCAGTGCTTTCTTCTCTTATTCACTATTTGATGACCCATTGTGCATTCCCTATAGCTTAGTGGTTATAGCACTCACCTCGCAAGCGAGAGGACCTGGGTTTGATTCCTGAGCAGGGTGAAACGTTGGCCAAATTGTTTTACTCCACATGCTTCTGTTTACCTCGTAGTAAGTAGGAACCCAGTTGTTAGTCGATTGGTGGATCACATTTCTGGGGGTAATAATCCCCTTCAAACAGCAACAAAAAAAATTGGTCACTCAATCCATGACTGTTTGTGGGGACGCTGCTGTGTGCAATTGGCTGCCATGTTTCGTCCATAAAGTATGGTCAATTCACTTCACAGTATATTCTTTGCAGTGCTTTGAGACGTCTCAAAGATATGATAAGGCGCTCTATCAAACGCATGGATTATTATGATTATTATTATTATTGTTGATGTAAGGTGTTCCTGAGTAGAGTTGGGTTCGGCAGGATTGGACTCAGCTCTGATTGGAAGTGGAGAAGATTTCTGGCTTATCGTTAATTTGACCAGTCTTGGTGGTTTGCACTATAAAGGGTAATTGAATGTCAGTTAAAGTGCCAACACAGCCCACAATGCTCAGATTGCCTTAATAACAAGACAAAACCATGAGAAATTTCCTGTTGTGCGCTTGGTGAAATAGTGATGCCTTTTGCAGAAGAACCAGCTCATCCTGGAAGAGAGAATCGAACAAACAGCAATGCAGAGAAACCCACTGGAAATATGATGAGAATTGAGATAATCTTGGCGGCAGTGATTTCAGCCCTGCTCATCGTTGCACTGCTGACTTATATTACAGTCATGTACTGGCCCAAAAAAAGGGTGAGTTGAAGATTTTTTTTGTTGATTAACCAACTGCGATTAAAGTATAAACCAACAAACGATCAAAGTATATGCTTTGTGTGGTGCTCTACAGTTTTCCACGCTTAAAGATTTAGAATGGCTCTGTATAACTCTCCAGATATCTCCCCTTTCCTCTCTCTATGGAAAGGCAGACCAGTTACTGGGGCAGGGAGCTATCCCACTCTGCTCCTATTAACTCTGCAAGCCAAAAACCTAACAGGTAGAGTGGTCCTAGCTGAACAAGCAGCGAGAAAGCTTGCTAAACAGCAATATCAACGACAAGCTATGTGGTTTTAGCTGGTTAGTCTCCAGCAGTTACCCCAATGCACACTCTGGGGATCCCCAAACCTTGGCTCTTGCCAACCTGCGCCTAATATTTCCAGAATTAGGAAAGCAGGATGCATCCCTCCAGGGAGAGGGTCCACATTCCATTCAAACAATCTATCTCTGGGATTTCCACGTGTAGGTGGGATGCGTGGAATTCTCAGTTTGGTTTGAATACTCTTAAGCACAGTGATGAATCATAGAATCATAGAATCGTACAGCACAAAAAGAGGCCATTCGGTCCATTGAGTCTGTGCCGGCTCTTTGAAAAGAGCAATGCAACGTAATGAGTTTCCACATGTGTCAGACTCCCGGCTGAACATAAAACAAATCTACACCAGTGAAGTCGCCTGCACAGCACTGAGATGAGTGATTAATTATTCAGAATTTTGTCTGAGTGCAGATGCGGACTCTGTTCTTCTCTGAAATGCTGCCATGGAATCTTTAATGTGAATACATGTGCAACGTTTCAGTGTGTGACTGTTGACTCACTGTTTTGTGAGTGTGATTGTTCAGACTGTGCAAGGGTTTAGATGATAATAGTTTTGTTCGTCAACTTGTTTCACACTGAATGTGTATGCTTGACTAATTCTCCTCATTCTTCTTAAAGATCCCAATACTAGGCTATCGATACAAGATGCCAGATGTCAGGTAATTACATTCAAAATCATACATTCAAAGACCAGCTTCTACGTAGCTTCCTGCCATGTTTTCAGTTGAGGTGGAGCAAGCTGAACAGGTCGAGGCACCACTCCTGATCTCCTCTGCCATATTCCTGTATTCCCTTCTCCCTCATGTATACATCAAGTTTCTTTTAAAATATTTTCTGTTTTTATCAGATGATGCTTTTTGCTTCAGCCGCAGCTTCCAACAGTGGGTTCCAAATTCTCACTGCAGAAGTTCTTGCTAAATGTTGACAAGAATGGAGTTGGAGCTGGCTAGTTAAAAGGACATCAAACAACAGAATCTCCCTAACGTTTGCTCTGTCTGTTTGGGATATTAATCGTGTATGTGCATTACATAGTATATAGTATGCAATGCAGTATATTAAATCCCCAAATTGAAAATGTGGTTATATCTATCTCCTGCCCTTCCATTGCTAGAGCAGCAATACCATCTAGCAAAGGCCCTTACGCTTTCAGAACAAGTTAAAGGATGAGGCGACAAAACAAATCTTGTTTTATGCAATTTCCTTTCAATGACAGAGTTAAACATTTTGCTTCTGCTTTCCTGCACAAACAATCGGGTGGGTGTTTCAATAAACACTGACTGCGTAAAGCAGGGTGGGTGGAATGAATGTGAAATACTGAATCTCGTGGTGAGCTGTGGCTAGCACATTCCAGAACACTTTCCAACTCAGGAAACCTGAGGCCGAACGTTGCTCTGTGAATCTTCACCCAGGCTCCAGAAAATATCAGTCACAGAGGTGTTCCACAGGTATAAGTAAATGACACAATTACTGAGCAATTTCAGCTGTGGACTGCAGTGGGAGTGTTTGTTGGCAGTTTGCAGGAAGACCAACAAGACCATTGTTTTGAGAACGAGGAAAGGCTTTTGTGGTTATTTTCAAAATGAATAGCTCTGCTGTAAGGTATCACAGTGGCAATTCCTACACTTCTGTAAGTACAATTCAACTTCTCCTTGAAAAATAACCATTTCACTGATGTACATATTCTGCGTTTCAGGGTGAGGATCCCATTTCCACAGTGTATTCCTCAGACTACGCTGTACTGAAGGCTCCCGGAAGGATTGACCCAGAGAATCCCACGCTATCATTTGTTTTAGATGACCCGTGCTATGCTACAGTTGTATTCTCACCTGAACAGCAAGCTGCAAGTGTGCAGAAAATCCCTTCTAACAACTAAAAGAATAAATGTCTTCACTAGCACTATGACTGATTCTTAGCCATCACACCAAACAACTCCATGGTATAATTCATGTATAACTCTTCCATGAATTATACCCGTATGGCTCTTCCATTCACAAGTGAGTAACAAGTAGCTTTAAAGAATGAATATCTTGCCTACATGCATACATTTATAGAATAAGCGAAGATTGTAGAATAATCTCATACTGAGATCAAATATTTCATGTAATCTGAGATTCACTAGGGATAGGTTATAGGGGAAGTCATACAAAGTTACCCCAAATTTCTTTGTTACGTGTAATGTGGCCTCTCTGCAGTAGCGGGTGGGACTGTCCATAGCCAGCACTGAATTTGTTGACCTCAAATTTGTCAGCGGTTTGGGTCACGACAATTAGCTTCAGTTGAATTGCAATATCCAATTTGTGGCACCAGAGGGCAAAATACCATTGTCTGCTTAATAATATCATTGCTTGCTAGCAACTTCCAGTGGCAACCTGCAACTCCTTGGGAAAGAATGAAGTAAAATCTGAGACTGTTCTTGGGTTCACCGTAGCTAGGATTCAATGAGGAAAAATAGTGTCTTTCGCAGAACAACAAAGAATGAACCTATAATTGGAATGGTTTGCATTGCCTTATCCTGAACCTGAAATATCACCAAAAAAACCTGACTCTTACATGTGAAGACAACCTTGATAATAAGTTCATCAGCATTTGCAAGCCTATAGATCTTACCATTACTCAATCATTTTTTTTCCCATTACCCGCTGATCTGGAGATGTGCCAAATGTTCTGAGAAATATTTGTAAATAAATAAAGAATAATCTATTTATTTAAATCTCATTGTGATAATGTAACTTTTTTTCCTACGTGATTGGAAACATAAATTGTGAAGCTTCATGTTGTTTTCATGTATCTCGCTCACTCAATATGTATAGATCTTAATCTGTGTAAGACTCATATAAATGATAATTTGTTCCTTCCGTTAAGAAAGCAGGATGAAAGGTTGAGTCATAGTGCGGGACACCGCTGAGGTTGACAGATGTAAGTGATGGGGGGAGGGTTTAACTTCTATTGTAATTTATTTTGGAATTAAAAGAGAGGGAATATTAATTCCTAAACATTTGAAAATTTGTTCCCCATTATAATTGTCTTTGCAAATATTTGCTTCAAACTTAAAGTTAAAATTGAGCAGTATGCAGTGAGAGATGTGTTGTTTCAAAGGGAAATCTGAATGCTGGTTCATTTGTACAACAAGCAATTGAAGACTGGAGCAGGTTATTAAACTGGGTGGTAGAGACCAGGAGGTTGGACTCAGAAATAGCTTCACATTATAATGGGATGATGAGAGGTTGAGTATTCTGAAAGGATAAGATCAGGGTACCTGAAGGATGTCTCTTGTCAAATGCGAACTAACCTCGAAATAAATATGACTTGAAACAGAAACACGATTTAAAATTCACGACAATAACAACAACTTATAGCTCCCCTCACACATCGTAGTATCCCAGAGAGCTTGATTATGGCGGAGCACAGTGACGAGTCCAGGAGAGGTGACTGTAAGCACGGTCGAAGAGGAAGATCTTCAGGCGCGACCTGAAAATGGGGAAGGAGGCCACAAGGCAGAGTTTTGGGACACAGTCACAAACAAAGTCCTCTCTATCTCCAACCAGGGCTCCCTCCGCCTCTTCATCCTCCTGAATCTCTCTGCTGCGTTCGACACAATCGACCATTCCGTCCTCCTCCACTCGCATGGTTCAAGACCTACTTAACCAACCGCCTCCATTTCATCTCGGCAAATGGTTTCTCTTCCCACCCCCACCCAATCACTTGCGGAGTACCCCAGGGCTCCATCCTCTTCTTTTCCATATCTATAGGCTTCCTCTGGGCGATGTTATCCGCAGACACTGGGTAAACTTCCACATGTATGTGGATGACTCACAAATTTACTTTGCCTCCTCCAGTACCAAATCCAGGTCCACCGATATTCTACCAGCTTGTCTAGCAGACATCAGGGCTTGGGAGAGTGCAAACTTCCTGTAGTTGAATTTAATCAAACTCCGTACCCAGATCTCACCAGTTGTGGCCAGGCTCCACTAGCTCCCCATCACCAAACAGATCGACTTCAAGATCCTCACTCTTGTGTTCAAATCCCTTCACTCTCTGGAACCTCCCTACCTCTCTGACCTCTTCACTCCTCAATCCACTGCTTGGTGCCTCCGCTCAACTGACACTGGCCTTCTGCTCGCCCCTCGCACCCTCTGCCCCACCTTCGGAGGTGGCGCTTTCATCCCCTGCACCCCGAGACTCTGGAACACTTTCCCTCTATACCTCCGCCTTGCCCTCTCTCTTCCCTTTTTCCCACCTGAAAACCTTCTTCTTCAACTGTTATGGCCACCTCACTCCACCACCCTCGGTTCAGAGTCAGGCTCCTCACTGTTAAGCGCTCTGAGATGCTACCCTGCGTGGAGGACGCTATATAAGTGCAAATTGTTGTTGTTATAGTGGCTGAAAGCACAGCCACCGCAAAAGAATGAAGGGCATGTGGGATAAGCAGGAGACCGGAGCCAGTCGAGTGGAGGCAGCAGGTAGTGGGTTGGGGAGTAAGCAGGTCCGAGAAATAGGGAGGTGCCACGGCATGAAGAGATTTGAAGACGAGTGTGAAGATTATGCTGTAAGTCCATAGCATCCAGTGGTGTGACATAGATTTCTATCTTGTCTGTTAGTGTATGAATATACATTCTATGGTTTACTTACACAATTCCTCTGAATATTTGTTTACATGAAGCCTTGTTTCAGTAAGAATCAGCAGATAGAAAGCAAATGGATGCCTCTACTCTGCTAATAGAATAGTCTGTGCAATCATTTTCACAGACAAATGTTTAACCTCCAAGTGCAAAAAGCTCTTACTGGGAAAGTTCACATTTTAACCACAGAAAATGCAGCTGCTGAAAGCAAAGGTTTGTTTCTGAGGCTGGCGTCTTGATGTCTGCAATGCTGAGTTTGTATAAAAATTAAATAATGTTTGTATTTCACATGTCAAAGTGATTCAGTGAGTTGAAGCATATTGGCCGTTGTTATGCAAGCAAAGTCAGCAGCTTAATTTGTGTGAGCAACATCCCATAAACAGGCGTTAGATGAGATGAGTGACCTTTTTGGGAGGTGAATTTAGATCAGAAAATTGACTGGTACCTAGAAGAACTTCCAAATTGTGCCATGAACACTATTGCCCACCTTTAATGTCTAGTTTAACTCGCAGATGGGACCTCAATGTAATGTTTGTCTGCAGGATGGTACCTGCGACAATGCAGCACTCCCAGCAGTTTCAATATAGACTCTGGACTCAAATGTAGGGGTAAAAAAAACACCTCATCCTGGCAGTGCAACCAACTCAACTGAACTAACAAATACATGTAGCCACTGAGAAGAATACTGTCGAGCCACTATGAAAGGCTTGATAACATCATGTTGTGGGTTCATGCAAATTCCATGAAAAGGTCAGTCACATGTGGAAACCCAACACCTTGCTTAAGAATATTCAAAACCAGACTGAGAGTCTTGTAGCTCAGTGGTTAGAGCACTCACCTTACAAGTGAGAGCGCTCACCTGGTTTCAATTCCAGGCAGGGCAAAACTTTGGGCAAGTTTCCTTACTCCACATGCCTAATAATAATCCATCCAAAAAAAAACAAAAAAAAATTGTTCATTTTCAATCCATGACTGTTTGTGAGACACTGCTGTGCGAATTGGCTGCCGCGTTTCACCCACAAATATACGGTCAATTCGCTTTATTGCATATTCTGTGAAGTGCTTTGAGACGTCTAGAAGACGTGAAAAGCACTATATCAAATGCAAGGATTATTATTATTATTCCATATATGTGGAATATCCTGTGTCTCGAATGGAATTCGCAGTCTCTTCCTGGAGGGATGCACCTCTGGAGAGCATCAGGTTGGCACTGATAGTTCAACATAATGTGGTGCTATATCAAATGAATATCAAACTTTTTACACAAGACTATCATCTCAGCGGCTCGGTGCCAATGGAGATATAATCACTTGAATTAATCAAGCAAGTGTTTCTAGGTACATTAATCTAGGTCACCATATTAACCATTCAGTAGCTACATTGCTACATTTAACTGCACTGCTTCTAACATTGCTGAAGTGAATTTGTGTTGAGTATTGCTGTTCAATAATGTGAACAAACATTCCCATTAAAAAACAGGAATTGGGAAGCTCTCTAGTGTTAAACAGCAGCGCACGTTGGAGCCCGAGATAAAAGATATCAGTGGTGTTTGTGGCACGAATCAAGAAATATACAAAAATGTATTTTGTTGGCCGACCATAAAGGTTGGCCATCATTGGAGTAGAGAAAAGCTGGAAATTTAAGGGAGACAGCTTTAACACAGTTGATGGCCCTGTTGTTTTGCCCCTTTCTTGCCTTTATTTAGCGACTTACATAAATTAAATGAGGACCAAGGGAGAAGACAGAACCATCCACTTGTGGAACTGTACCTGGCAATGGAATGAATAAGGAGTTAAACACCATCAGGAGAGGAGAGGGAAGGAGAGGATTAGCAAAGTGGAAAATAAAATTATTTTATACTGCATAACCACTGTGGCGGGTGTTATTCTCAAGTGCTGAATATTTAAAAGAATAATTAGCTTGAGGAAAATTAATCAAGCTTTCCTGTGTTTACAACGTGACAAAAAGATGTGGACACATATTTCTTTTTAAATGTCAGGACAGCGATACATATTGCAACTCTCCCATGGTTTACTGCTGAGCCATCAGGTCCAAATGCTCGGCAAGCGCTTTGCTGACTAATAGGTTTGCGTTTCGGATCTGATGAAAGAGGCATTTCTGATGACTCAGCTGGCCAGACCAGCATCCTGCCATCATTCACCACACGCACCAGCACAGATTGGCACGTTCGAACAATGGGAAAGATGTTCAAATCAGAGAGAACATTTTTCACAGTGAAAAAAACACACCCTGTGCTGACTACACTAGCCGCCAAGTAATTTCTTATTCCACACATGCAGCAAAAACATCAGTGAAATTCAGAACTAATGGTTTCCTAGCTCTAAACGCCATTAATAATTTTGACACAAAGTTTTCATAGTTAATGATTATGTTTCACTGGATTTTATTTTCTTACCTCTAAATTTCTTCCCCCTCCTCCTCTCCTGAAAATGCTGACTCACACAAACTGGGGCATGGATTCAATCACTGGGCGCTGTTCGGTAGCAAGTGCTCCTTCTTCATACAATAGGTTTGCGAAGCTGTGAATGATGGAAATCTGAGAAAGAGGAAATGCCCCACAATCAACATTTTAAAAAGAAAGTCAAGTTTAAATTTGAGATATTACGCTTTATAAGTAGTGATATTTGGAAAACATTTTCAGATCTTGTGTATTTCCACGTCCCTCTGTAAAAAGCCTCAACTGAGACTAGAGGTGACAAGATGTGCTTCCCTTACGGAATCGAACGATAAGTGGACTCTCAGAGGACTTTATGGTATAAAATTAACTCCTTCCAAAAATAAAGGGATAGAGATTGAGAACAGTATCGGTGGATATAGAGATAGATGCTGTCTGAGAGAAACACATACACCACTGGAACCCAACAGTTCCTCTGCTGCGAGGGCCAAAGTTGACGAGGGGAGATGTGGGGATGGCAAATATTGAGCCTTTTTCCCTACATTTGGGGATGCATAACCTTTCCTCAGAAGATGAAACAGATTAGGGAGCGCTGTCATATGATAGATTATGAGATAGGTGTGTGGGAGGACTAAATGTCTTTTCCTGAAGTGTCTTTTTGTGCTTATGTTCTGATATTGCACAGCTCTCCCACACTCCAATCTGAATGCAATCGTGCAAGTTCTGCAAATCTGAAGAGCGCTTGGTTTGCTCTAAACTTTTGTCCAAGTTGCATTGGTGAGAATCATATGAAAATTCAGATATGATTTCATTAAAGGTATGCAAATGAATACATGTGTGTTACATAATGTTCGCTTGTACAGGAAAGTATTGAATGTCTAAGAAAAATTATTAATAGCCAAGATTACATCACATTCTTGCTTTATTCTTGTCAACAGAAGCCCAAACTCCAAAGACCCTTCATCCCTCGGTATCCAGTCATAGCTATTCAAGATATTCAGTTATATTCTTTTCCTTCTCCTTCTCTGCCTTGTACAACAACAACAACTCGCGTTTATATAGTGCCCTTCACACGGTGTCCCGCTTGACAGTGGCAGAGTCTGACAATGAGTCAGATGGAGAGCCAAAGAGTATGGCTTCCGTCTTGCCGACATTCAGCTGCAGGAAATTTGCGCTCATCCAGGCCTTGATGTCCGTCAAACAAACTGCTAGGACATCAGCCGACTGGGAGTCACAGCTGGAGGAGGAGAAGTAGATTTGGGTGTCATCTGCATACATGTGGAAGTTGTAGATAAACAAAACAAGGGGGCCAAGGATGGAGTCTTGGTGTACCCCGCAGATGACTAGGTGGGGGGAGAAAACATTTGCAGTTATAGAAAGGAATACTTCTACTTGCAAGTTTGTCCCAATCTTCATACAGTAAGAGAAAGGGTTTTGGTCAATTTCTAAGTCATCCTGAACTAAAGGCAGAGTCATTCCTATTGTGAAACTGACCTTAACCTTTAATTGCCCCGCCTTTGTTATTTTGCAAGCCAGTATTTTTCTGAAGTGACCTCAATTATGCTAAATAGTACATCATATCTCAATATGTAATGCTAACCACCAGTGTTGACCACAGGATTTAATCTAGTCCAGAATATAGAGTGGTTAAAGCTGACTCTGTCTTAATGTGCACCAAAGATAAGGATGAAGTGACCTCAACAGTGGGTTGAATAGTCACAGTGCAGTAAATTGCTGACCAAGAAACTTTCAATTCTGACTATGCATACTTACTGCAAAACAAAGCTGACCTATTTTTTGTTGGTCAGCCAGATGTCTGGCACGTGCAGAAACGCATCACCATGCTAAACAGCATCCAAACCATAGCCGAGAGATCCATGTATCTCATCTGCACATGGAAATTTCAGAGATAACCATTGATATGGAATGTGCACTCCCTCCCGAGAGGGACACACCCTGCTTACCTAATTCTGGAGAGTGTCAGGTGCAGGTTAACAAGAGCCAAGGCTTGGGTGGTTCTGTGCCTGTATTTCCACACACTCTGAATTATTTCCAATTCAGTTCAAGGGAGAAGATGCAGCAGGACCAATAGTTGCAGACTGTACCACTTTAACTCTTTCGCTAAATGGTAGGATAAGCCTACATCTTTAATAGCATTTCCTTGTCTTCTGTTGTTGAACAGTAGAGGACAGGAACAAGTCTAATCCCACTTCTGGCACTATCTCACAACATTTATATAAGGCCTACCTAGCCAATCCCTTTTGTATTCTTAAACTCCTTGTACCAATCTATCTCACCATAGGCCAATTTGCGTTAACCTTGCAGGGGGCCTTTAATTATCGCATTTCTGCTCTCCTGCACTTACTGATTGCCAAACCCGGTGGAAATATCCTCCCAGCTCGAGGCAAGCAAATGGTGATGATTCAGTGCAGTATTTTTTATTTACTCCAAGAATTACTCACAAACACCAGAGATCGTGGACGTGACTATATACTGCTGTGCGGTTATTAATCAGGTAGAATTTAATCTGGGGCATTTGTTAAGCGGTGGCTGCAGCTTGCTCCCTATCGCCATATTTTCTTGTCATTTCCTTCCTCTCTCTTGTTTGTGATGGCATGTACCAGATATGTGTGCAATCAATAAAGGAAGTTACTGGCAACAAGAGATCCAAAACCACAACAACCGTTACAAACACGACTAGTTTTGATGTGTAAATAGGTTGTTCCACTCGTACCCCCAATCTCTTCAGCACCTCTCAGATTCTTTTGTCAAATTTTTACTTTTTAAAAAAAAATAATGTTTGTACCTGGAAACAAACAGGTCTTTTTAAAAAATGCAGGGGACAGACTTTCCCTGATGGCTCCATGGGTAAACATATTGAGACACACAAACTGAATTAGGTTCCAGATTCCATATATACTGTACTAGATTTCCAATCTCATTTGGTTTCCTAGCTCGGTATTCCACGCTCTGCCTTCTCCCACCTCCGCAACATCGCACGGCTCTCTCGCTGTCTCACACCACAGGCCACCGAGATCCTCATACACGCATTCATAACATCCAGGCCCGACTACGCGAACTCCCCGCTTGTCAGCCTCCCTCCATAGACTGCAGATCTCCCAGTGTCCTGGCCAATAAGGGTCTGCCAATGTTAAGCACTCTCAGACTCTATCCTGCATGAAAAGCGCAATTGTAATACAACAACAACTTGCATTTAATTATTATTTCAACCTTGCACTCTGACCTAGGTCTTGGAATACAAGAGAAGTATTTATTGCAAATCCAAATAAACTTGGTGTAATTTTGCGGCTGCTCTATTCTATGTAAATTTCATTTGTTAATTTCAATGCTGCCATTCCCTGGTGCTGTGAATTGATGCCAAAAAGCTGCGACTTTTAAAAACTACAACGATGTTGCCCTCTACTGGAACTGTGATAGTATGACCTGGAAAGAGCTGAATATTAGGCTTTATTTACAAGTCAATAAATTCCTGTCATTGTAGCACAACATTGTGTCAAAACCTCCATCTGAATGTATAAAAGGTACCTCTATATACGGAAAACTCAGAGCAAAATGTAAATCGAAAGAGGCTTGCAGGTTTATTCAGTGTACAATTGAGTAACTACTACTAATAATCTTCGTATTTGATATAGTGCCTTATCACGTCATTGAGACGATTCAAAGTGCTTCATAGAATGTACTGCAAAGTGGATGGTCTGTGTATTTTGTGGGTGAAATGCACACGCTTTTTCTTTCTCACTCACTCTTTCCCTCTCTCTCGCTCCATTGCCGAAACGCCCTCAAAATTCTGACCAGGAATACGTTTATTCTGACCAGAAACAGGTTTCAATAACTAGCTGTAGTAACCGTAGTAACCTAACTCCCCAGTGTGGGTCCTGAGCCACAAAGATAGGGAAGCAGCGAGTGATTATAAATAGTAGAAGCTATCAGGGAGGCAGTGACCAGTGGAATTCTGTGTGGCTCTGCACTGAGCCTGTGTGCACCTTTTGTAATGTAATGAAATGTGCTTATTATACCAAGCTATGAGGCCAGGTAAGTAAAAAGACAACAAGTAACACTCAAGACGACCCAGGCCAGAAAAGTCAATGATTTTATTGTTGATAAAGCCCAGGTAATGGATGTTGGATAAAGAAACAATAATGTGCGTTTATATATACACCCTTCACAGATTCTCAGAACAGTAAGTATATGCACAAATTGAAACTGAGGGGAAAAAAAGGATTGCGTGAGATTAGGATCAGCCACTGAAAGAAAGTGGGATTTTAAAGAAAATAAGCTAAAATAGTATCGGGAATTTGAGAGATAATCATTGAAGTATAGCATTCATAAGTAGTTAAAGATCAAACTTTATGCTTTAAAATGAATTGGAAAAGATTTTGTAGCAAATTATCCAGCATATTTACAAGATTCTAATTGTGTGGCGTTTAAATGGGATAAGGCTCCAGGTTACATTCCTTGGCTGCAGATTCCCATCAAACAGCCTTGACAATGCTTTGACTCATGTGGACCATTCATGTCTGTATGGCTGACGTGCTTGTCAAGTTTGATATTTTCATTATAACACTTTTTGCGAATCCTGATCATCAGCCGGTCAAGTACTGGGGAGATGTTATCTGTCTCGAAAGTGGGCTCCTCGTATTCTGCTCCAGTATGGTCCTTCCGACATCTCTGTTTGAAGAATCGCACCTTCACTCTTCCTGTGTATCCACTTCGCTGCATATGGAATAGGATTGAAACCTTTGCTGACGCCCAGGATTTGGAACAGATCGAACAACGAAATCTGAGAACAGAAATATAAGACTGTTGTCCTATTCACCAACTCCCACCAAAGAAAATGTAAGTAAACTCACTCATGTTCTCTGGCACTGCACATACACTGCAATTTCTCGGCTACAGTAAAACTCGCATAGGTCTTATCTTTATAAATCGTATAATCACTTAAGTCGTACATTCTCCTGAGTCCCATTCAGTTTCTTATCAAAACCATTTAGATTTCTTTCTACTACTTATATTAATCTCTTCCTAACTCGTAACGCCACTCCCCTACCCTCCATTACTCTTGCACTTACCGGCTGCATTGAAACACAGGAAACATTGTATTGATCCGTCGACGCTTGCGCAGAAAAGCTTCATTTCCTGCGACTCAATGCTTGATTTAGTGCACATGCGGCGATGAGTTAAGATTGAATCGTGGTAAATATAGTCTTGACCGGTCACCACATTTGCACTTACCATCTGCAGTGATGAACTACTGCAAACGCACTTACCGGCTGCATTGAATTCCACATGTTAGGGTTAGATTATTGATTAAATTGCAATTTTATATGATTTACACAGTTTGCCTGCAACTCAGACTTTGTGTAAGTCATATTAAATGTTATGATACCGACTGATACGACTTATGTGAGTTTTATTGTACAATCGACAACCCTGTAGATTGCAACTTGCTTCAATCAGACGTACTCCCTACCTTCCAAATGCAGATGTTATGTAGCAGCTCCATCCACTTGGTGCTCCATCTGCTATTAGTTCATTGTCTTCCTCAATAGTCCATTTGTCATGTACAGGCAAATCCAGTACCTTATCGTTAAAAAGTCGAGTCCAATCTGTGTTCAGCATCACTATTTGTCTTGTATCTCCTTTCAGTGTAAGTGCACTGAGAGACTTTGTTAATTCAGATCTGCTATTTGTTTTTCAACCAGTTAGCTCTAATCCAATTTAGAGACTGGTCACAACATCAGTGGGATATCCAGAGTGTTTACCTTTAAGAAAATCCTTAACAGATGACACGCCTACTATGGGAGTGTTTATACAAAATATGAATGCAAAGGAAATGGAAAGTGAAACTCTCAATTTCTCTGGGATCATTTTAATAATAATAATAATCCTTGATTTGATATAGCGCCTTTTCACATCGTTGATATACTGTAAAGTGGATTGACTGTATTTTCCTCATTTTTATCTTTCAATGAAATTCTCAATTTTTATATGTTAAAAAAAAATTAACATAGAGTCACTCTTTCTGCTCAGTGGAAGATACATTTCCAAAAGGTGACAATTGGTCTTCTAAGCCTTTTGGGTGGAAGGACAAAAAACAGTCAGTTTCCTGCTTTCCAGTGACTAATAATGAAAAGTAATAATAATAATAATCCTTGCATTTGACATAGCACCTTATCACATCTTCGAGATGTCTTAAAGCACTTCACAGAATATACTGTAAAGTGAATTTACAGTAAAACTTGCATAAGTCTGATCTGAATCAATCATATAATCGCCAAATTCGTACATCTGCCCAAATCTTGTTCAATTTCCTATTAAATCCACTTAAAATGATATGGAGTAGTCATATTAACAACCAGGCAATTTGTATTGTTGCTACCACATTTGTCATATATGATGCAACTTATGCAAGTTTCCCATAACTCATACTTTGCATAAATCATCCTAAATGTTATTTAACATTACCCGCCTCCACCACTGCCTCTCACAGCAGGCCACTGAGACCCTGATCCATGCTTTCATCACGTCCAGGCTTGACCACGTCAACTGCCTGCTCTCTGGACTTCTCAACTCTTGTTAGGCTTCAATGGCTCCCCATCCCCCAGAAAATTGAGTACAAAACCCTTGTTCTCACCTTCAAAGGCCTCCACGGTCTTGCTTCCCCTCTACGTCTCCGGCTTCCTAACTCCATAGCAGCCTGTCTGCTCTTTCCGCTTAGCGGACACGAGCCTGTTTCAGGTCCCCTGCACTTCCCGCCCCACCATTGGCTGTCAGGCATTCAGCATCTCTGCCCCCACACTCTGGCAATCCCTCTGCCTCACCCCCTCTCTTGCCTCCTTCAAGTACCGTCTAAAGACCTTCTCTTTGACCGAGTCTTCGGCCACCCTCCCACCCCCATCTCTCCTGCCCTCAACCCCTCCTGATCCCAACTTCCAGCTCGGATCCAAAAAAAATCTCTGACTGTACAGCCCCTGAGACGTCTTTCCAATGTGATGGGTGCTATACAAGTGTAATTTGTTATTGTTGTTATGGTTCCAACTGATACAACTTACGTGAGCTTTACTGTACACATTTCTGGATTTCAAGTGAGGACGGAATCAGTCATTTTTATGTTCCTCTCGTTTAATGAAATAGCCTGCAGGCACTCACTATCTGCACTCACACATTAATAATGGCCATTTGGATGAGGTACCTGATGTTGGCTTGCGCGTTTATTGCAGGATTCCTGCAAAATATCACTTCAAAAGTGAGATATTCAGAAAGGACAGTCAATTTGGGGAAATGCTAAGATGATCATGTGCCCTGCCCTCGCAACTAAAGAACAACTAATACATAAGCAATGATTTTGTGATGCATTTCATGGCCAATTACATCACTGAGTCATGTAGTATGTAGAGAAAACAAACACACTTTGCCAAGGAGATCTCAATGTTGTTGTTGCCTTAGCTTTGAACGTACTTTCGTTTGGTCAAAGTCCACTGGTTACTTATTGAAGAAACAGAAACAGAAACTGCCAGTACTGTAGCAATCACTCCAAAAATGACTGCAATATATTGAAACGAAACTTGGAAGCTTGATTGCAAATCTCCAGTTCTTTGCTGGACTTCAGCCAGGCATTTCATATGCTTTAGTCTCATGTGAAGTATGTTGGAAACTATTTATTAGTCATATCAAATCCAAGGATAATTATTAATACAAATCTACGTGGCCGACTACCAGAATCCAATATCCAGTACTTACTATGACCCTTTATCAGTGCCACCCCTCCCTCACCCTAACCCCCGTCACTATTATCTTCTAAACTGTCATAAGGGCATAAGAATTGCGAGACGAAAGAATCTCAAGGTCCATCCAGTCCACCGTCCACCATCCTGGCAATCGCATGCGCATGTCATGTCCCAAACTATAGACCGTCGCTCCTTCCTCTGAGAGGAGGTTTTTAGTCACTTTTTATAAATTCATCATTTTTCTTTCTGCGCGCAAGCGTCCCGCGGGTTCCACATTTCGCCAATTTAGTTAGCTCGGGCGACTCTTATTTGCCACAATAGCTCAGGGTTTTGGCAGAGATTCAAATAGGTTTGTAGTCCAATATCAACCCAAAAAGTAGCCCCGAAGTAGCCCAAGAGTATGGCTCGCCTCCTATGGGGGGGCGTGAGGGAGAGAGTGTGGCCGATCTTAAGTGAAGTGCTTTTGAACCTGTGTAAGAAAAGGTCTTCAAAAGGGCAGACCAAAAAAAAAAATGTTGCAGGGTTAAATTGAACTTTCTTTTTAAAAAAAATTAGCCAACCCGCCCAAAGCCGTTTTTTTTTCACGCACAAAACCCGCCCCAATCTGGCAGCCTGGCTGGCACTGCGCCACTTCATGGCACCGCGGAGGACTACATGTCCCAGCAGGCCAAGCGCGGTCAGCTGGCGAGCGAGCGCGTGCGTGACTGCGGAGGGGAAGGGGGCGATGCATTGTGGGGATTGTAGTCGTGTGTGTGCGTGTGCGCGCGTGTGTGTGTGTGTGTGTGTGTTTTCAAAAAAAAAGGTCTCGGGCGACCTCGGTTCCCGAGCTCCTCCTCCGGCGGCAGAACCGCGCGTGCGCAGGAAACGCCGTGCGGGTCACGGTGACGTGTGTTTGTCGGGTGGGGTGGGGGGTGGGCAACTGCCACGGCCGTTGAAGGTGCGCACCGCCAATGCCCGGCTCGTGACTGACTGACTGACTGACTGAGTTGCAGGAGGGCCGCCCGCCCGCCCGCCCCCCGTCACCTGGTTTGGAGTGGGGTTTTTTTTGGGGGGGAGGGAGGGAGTGCGGCGGCGGGAAACATCAGAATAAATGTGGTTCTTGTACATGACAAGGAAATAAATAACCTTTAATGGTGGTGGAGGTGGAGGGGGGGGAGACCGAGTCCAGACAGAGGCAGCTATGGCAGGTTTGTGGGTTTGACCCTCGAGCCGCTGCTGCGTGAGCTGATGGTCTCAGGGGGTGGAGGAGGGGGTCACTGATAGGCCTCAGATCCTCAAGTTAGGGACTGGCATATCAGTTGTGGGGGGGTTCTCCCTCCTGGTCCTCTGACCCCCCCTCACCTCACCTCACCTGCCAGGAAGTAGACCTCTCACAGGGATGTCTCCCCTCCTGACCTGAAAGGTGTTATCTTATGCAATTGTAATGTGTTGTGGTTCTTGTTGTTGTTGTTGTTGTCGTGGTGGTGGTGCTGGTGCTGGTGGTGGTGGTGCTACAAACAGGATCCTATTTGGCTGCGATTCCACTCAAAATAGCCCACTTGTTGCTCACCGTCCGAGCTCAGCTCATGAACCGTGGTCACCGGAGCAGGGCCACCACCCCTGGCATGTGCCCAGGTGGCTGTGCCCTTGGCACAAGTCCTTCCCTTTAGGAGGGAAGGTATTTATTGGGAAAAACACAAATATCCCCTTCGTCTTTCAGTGTCGAGGTTGCCGTTTTGCCTTTTTACCTGATGTTCCATTTGTTTCAGATTTGTTTGATGTCTTTCCCTGACTGAAATTTCTGACAAAGCGTTTGGATGTAGAGTAGATACATTTGCTAATGTAATCGAACATTCACATATTAATAATCATTGATTATTATACTGTCAAGCATTTATAACTGTTCCCGGTTAAATGTACAGTAAGGTGACTAACAACGTGATGTGTGTGCTAGATTTGGAGCAATGTTGTTTATTTTTATTTCTTTAGTTTGGAATTCCATATTGATGGAAATTGAATCTGAATACAGAGTCTGATGGATAAGATTCCAGTTTCGACTCTGGAGCTGATCTGTCTAGGATCGAGCTTTGCGTTTTCTGGATTGTTTTACTACCTATACAGGAAGAAAAAGGCCACTGTGAATATACTAAAGGTGAGCCTCAGTTTTTGATTTACTATCTTTCCCCTGCCAAGAAACAAAGCCTCTCTTGTTCCTTTTTCTTTCCTCAGCTGGGAGAGTAAAAGCCACTCATGTCCCATATTGTTACTCCCAGTTGGGAGTGTGGGCATTCTGTGCTCTGCATGGTGGGTTGCACAACAGTACGACATCAAATAGTACAGATACTTACCAAAGCATTGTTATGCTATTTAGTAGTAGAAAAAAGCTGCCTTTGTTATGAGCTAATGATCAACAGTGGGTTATAATCAACTCTACTTGGTTGAAGCAAGAACGTGATATAATTCTAGAATACAATTTGCTTGTGTGTATGTTTGCCAGGGTGCCTCACAATTGCAGATCAATGATCAGTTGGTGGAATTTCTGAACGATACACCAGGAAAATGCGTGCAGTACGCTGTTGTGGAAGGTGAGACTTCAGTTCAGATTTCTTCTCGTTCTATTGTACACCAAACACTTAATTCTTCTCCATTCATCTCTCTTTTCAACCTTGACTTGAGTCTTGGCCCTTGACTGGTGTCTTGGCCTTTGCCCTTCTCAGTAAAATAACTAAATATACGTTGTTTGCCTCACATTTATTTTTATAATTGTCTCTCTTAGATGGGACATTTTTAATAAATTTACAGACTTTTCTGGGGTGACAAACTTGACTTTAAATGTGTGCATGGTTACATCTTTGGAACTTGTGGAGTCCTGTAGTTTAGTGGTTAGAGAACTCATCTCAAAACAAAGATTGGGTTTGTTTCCCTGGCAGGGCGAAACATTAGGCAAGTTTACAACAACAACAACAACAAGATTCCATTTATAGAGCGCCTTTCACGTCAGGAGGACGTCCCAAGGCGCTGCACAGTTGGGTCATGACCCGAGCATTGGGGGGAAATGGTCAGGGTGAGGGGAGGGAAGGGAGGGAGCGAGGAGGGGGGAAATGGTCAGGGTGAGGGGAGGGAAGGGAGGGAGAGAGGAGGGGGGAAATGGTCAGGGTGAGGGGAGGGAAGGGAGGGAGCGAGGAGGAGGAAGAGAGTCGAGAGGGGAGCTGAAGGCACGGTCAAAGAGAAAGGTTTTGAGACCGGCCTTGAAGGAGGAAAGGGAGGAAGCAAGGCGAAGGCACTGGGGGATGGAGTTCCAGAGCCTCGGGGCTGAGAGGCTGAAGGCCCGACCACCGATAGTAGGGCGGTTGGGGCGGGGGACGTGGAGCAGACCGGAGCCAGAGGAACGAAGTTTACTTACTTACTAAGCTGTAAATAGGAACCTGGTTATTAATCAATTGGTTCATCAATTTTCCGGGGATAATAATCTTTTCAATAAATAAATACGTAAAAATACTATTAATTTGGTCACTCAATCCACGACTGTTTGTGGGACACTGCAGTGAGCAATTGGCTGCCACGTTTCGCCTACAAAATATAGTCAATTCACATTACAGTATATTCTGTGAAGCGCTTTGAGAATTTCAAAGATGAGTTAAGGCGCTTTTAAATGCAAGGATTATTATTATTATGATTAACTTCTGCACCTGGTAATGTCTTTCCTGTCAATGACTGAGCACGAGTGAATCCAACCCTCTCTCCCCAAACCTGTGAACATAGATGGACTTGAAGTCGCTTATAGCGGTAATGAAGTCCACCACTTCATGGGCTGGAGCATTTCAGTGTTGGTTCACACACCAGCTCAACTTTGAAAAACTGAAAGAGTATATTTGCCTCTAAACCACTTCTGGATTTTTGCTACAGTAAATTATCAGCTAGTTAAACCTGGTGGAATATTCAACAATTTAAAATAAGGCATTCTCCGAAGCTTTGAGGCGTTTTGCTGCGTAAGATGCTATATGAAATAATTATTATTTATGCATACATATTTGAGGAATGTTGCAGTACTGGATTACTGCCACTGGTTTGCACCCGTATGCTTTGTAAATCTTCTTGAGGTCTGCAATATAACCGATAACTACTGTCTAATATATTTGTGCCTTAGCTAGTGCTCCCAGTAAAGTAGTTCCTCCTAAGCTGGTATTGTCATTAATTATGTTCCTGTCTCTTGAAACTGGGATTGTTTCCTGACGTGAGTTTAGGCCAATAATAATGTTCATCAGATAAGATGGGTCTGCGTAAGAATCAGGTCGTGAAATAATGTCAAACCTCACATCACTGGTGTTATCATGTTCCAGTTTAGAAATAGTAATAATAATAATCTTTGCATTTAATATAGCACCTTTCACATTGGGAAGACGTCTCACAGTGCTTCACACTATTTACAGTATTGTGTGTTTTGTGGGCAAATGGCAGCAGCAAATTTACGCACAGCAATATCCCACAAACAGCGAAGAAATTAACAAATTATGTTTGGGGGATTGTTGACCAGGACACTGGGAGAAACCCCCTTTTCGAATAGTGCCATGGGGATTCTTAATGTCTACCTGAACAGGCAGACGGCATCTTGGTTTAAAGTCATTTGAACAACGGTGTTTCAACCAATGCAGCAATCCCCAACTGCATCGGAACGCTAGTGTAAACTATAGGAGTTCAAAGTTTTTAATGAAAGGTACTGACCTCTTCGCTGATGCAGTTCTAATTGAAACTTGTTTTTTCAGGAGTTACCCGGCCGGTGAAGGAGGTCCTGCACAGTCATTATCAGGACAAGTGCAATGGGGTGATCCAACGGCTTATTCTGAAAGAGCACAAGCTCATATGGAACCACTTGGCCAGGAGTTGGTATGTCACAACAACAGAACAAATGACCTTGCTTAAAACGCAGTGTTTTGTTGAGGAAGATCTTCAAACAGAAAAAAAAAATCATTATTATTCACCTGTAAAATATTATTTAATTGATATGATTCAACAATTGTTTTATTCAGAATCTGAGCTACAAAGAATGGGAGGTCCATTGGCATTCAGTGCTAGCTGATCTCAGTTAACTGAATTGCAAGTGATCTGAGCACTTCAGGTTGCAGAGGGTAGTGCCAGTCAGGATTTCCATTGCTGATAAACTATCCATTGCCCTCTCTTGGACTATGTGACAGTGGTGGTCAAGTGAGAATAGGATCAGACTGGGTATTTTGCTCCCCACAGTCAAACAACCTACTGACAAGTAAGGTATTGGAGGGTGAGCGCAAGAGAAATTAAACATCCTGATAATATCCATAAAATATACCAAACACCCCACTGACTGACTATTATATTGTTTTACTGTCCTGAAGTTTTTTACATTCCCTTGCACTCAAAGGACGGAGGTCTGAATAATAAGTATAATAACATGCAGTTGCTTGTGTGATTACCCATGTTTAGCTTTGTTGATAAGCTGACAGACAGTGGAATTTAAATATCAAATCTTATATAACCAAAAACTCTGTCTATGATGATTCAACCCAGGTTCAGGACACTGAGATTTACTCGATGCAGCAAATGATTTACTGAATAATAAGTATGGTAACATACTTCATTCAGTAGGTTATGCCATGGTCTAGTGTGGAACTGAATCACATACAGTGAAAACTCTTGATCAACCCACTAATGTGGTCAATTTACTAAAGTGTAAACCTCAATCGAGTAAACCTCAATTATTGTTGTGATCAAAATTCCTCAGTCTGTTTGCTGATTGGATTAGTACGTTTCCACTAGGTTACAAAAAATAGTTGATTTGATTGTTGAAAGCGGATCTCAGCTGGGGTGGTAGGAGTTACAATTGACCTACCTACCCCTAGTGGCTGTTATTCATATATAAGATTAAATGGTGTGGCAGGCTACAAGAGGCAATGCGATCAGTCTTATCTTATCGTCATCCGCAGTACACATTTACACATCTACACTTACAGCAGTAGTCACTAGAGCAGCAGGAATCGTGTCTTAACTTCCCACCCTAGGTCACTAGGGGCAATTGTAGCTGTCTTTAGCCAAGACAGCTAACTTAGCATAGACTAGGAATCAAACCAAAATGCCTCAGGTACTGGATGTTGCACCTCAGGAGAGCAAAATGGACAGTTTAAAAATTCAGAGAATATAAATTATTTAAAAAATAAAACAATGTTCATCAACTCTCCGGAAGCGAGAGAAGAAATTGCCAATTGTTCAATGTGAGCTTTGTTTTCCCTTTGCAGGAATGAGAGTGAACGGATTATACATCAACGAGTGAACACTGTGCCCTTTGACCTGGTATCCTCCTATGGAGGAAGAAGGTCAGTCCGAGTGATCAGTCCACTGGAAGCTTCGGGACTGGAATTTGACACAGTGTATGAACGGTTTCATCAGGCAGCGCAAGGCTTGACTGACCTCATTGGCCACTATCTGAGCGGCGAGAAGCCGAAAGGTTTTCTTGAAACTGAAGAGATGATCCGTGTTGGAGCCACACTAACAGGAATTGGAGAGCTAGTTTTGGATTCCGATAAGATTGTCAAACTGCAGCCTCCCAGAGATGGGCTGGAGTATTTCTTAAGTACTTTGGATTTCTCAAGCATCCTGAAACAGCAGGAGTCAAGCATTAGACTTTGGAAAGTCTTTATGGCTGTCAGTAGTCTGGCAGGCATTGTGGTGGTTGCAGTTGTCCTGCGCAGAATGTACTGTCAGTTCAATGAGAAAACAGAGCAGGAGGAAATGAGGAGGAAATACGAGTCGCTGAGGGTTGGTGAGAGCGGAGATGTTGCTGGTGGGGCAGCAGGGGGCACCAATGAAACCCCAGAGAATGCCTGCGTGATCTGTCTGTCGAACCCGCGGGAGTGTGTCTTCCTCTCCTGCGGACACGTTTGTTGCTGTTACGACTGTTTCCGGGCACTTCTGACACCCAGCTGTCCCATGTGTCGAAGTCTTATCGTCAGAGTGGTGCCTCTTTACCAGGCGTGAGTGTGTTCTGAAAACAAATCAAGTGCCTTTTAATTAGTTGTGTCAGTTGTTGTAATTACACACTGAATCTATGGAACCCTTGAGTCATGTTACATTCTGGCCTTTGTAGCATGCCTGGTGATGGGCTTTACTGAACCTCTGCTCCTACCTATAGTATTCATGGTTTAGTTGTGGCCTGTTCGAAATACAGGTTGCTTGAATTGACGATATGCTGTTTGAAGCTCCATCGAGGACAATAAAGATCTGATCAAGGCAGTGAGCTGAATCGTCTTTAATTGGTGTCTCTGTAAAAGACATGACAAAACTCACAAGATCAATATAAAGATTCTGTTGTCAGCCCTGCAGCCATCCTCTCTGCTCAGAATTCACTAGTACAAAGAGTTGCCCATCGTGCAATGTTTTGACATTTTCAAAGGACATTCTGTAATTTAAGAAAAAAACACATTAAAACAAAGAACGAGTCTCAGTGAATGTATCCAGCGATTAGCTGTACAGCCATACAGACCAGCCTTGGCTGTGATGCTCATCAAATAACTTGCTGACAGTTGCTGTCTAGGCTCATGCTTGAAGCATTACCACTTAAGTGAGGTACGTGAGGGCAACTGATGCTCACGGAACCGAAACACAGCAAGAGGCAGTTTCAGGAACAGAGCCGAGAAAATTGGAGAGAAAATTTGGTGCCAACTTTTGAAAGGAATAAAATTATAACACTTGTGTGAAGAGGATTTCAGCAATATGTCCATGTCTTCAAATCTATATGTAACACAAGAGAAGAGTAGGAGTGCATCACAGAAACTGTAAATACAACCTCTTTAAGCTTGATTTTTACAGATATCTTAACGTTGTAAAATAGTGATTCCTTGCAATAGACTCGTAAGTGAAAGCGACAGTTTTCACAAGTAAAATTCTTCGCTGTCTCAGAAGATATTCACTTGAACAAACAAATGGTGGTTTTATTACGTCATGAATTTGAACCCGAAAGCTCACAGGTGGCAGGGTGCAGAGAAATAGAACGAGAAGTCTCAATAAAAGCAGTTTGGGAAATATTACTGGTTCAAACTTGAGTATTTGGTGGGTTGCCGCTTTTATCTACCCAATATAGTAAAATATTCCAAACGTTTCTCATTCTTTGAGTAAATGCATTTTTCCTGATAACTGTTGTCCTGTGCTCTTAATTTCTCGGCTTACTCCAAAGTAATGGTCTAATTTCATCTTGGCTGTACTCTTAATGTAATTATATACTTGATATTCTTAATAGCTTTTTTTTTAGACTGGCAAGGTCAAATTTCTAATTGTGTGCACCAGCGCCGGTTGTCGGGGTGAAAGAAATTACATCAAAATGCTGCTGCACTCCTGTGACCTGTCAACCACCATTAATTACTCCTGGTAGTCTGGGCAGCCAGTCATAACATGGAGATATGCCTTCTGAAAATGTAGGGGGTATTGCATTATTAATGTTATTTTGAATGTTTTTTTCCTGTTTATGGAAGCTTTGTTATCTTGGTTACACTGTACAGTTGGGTAACTGAAAGTAGCCGACCAAACTTGTGTACATGATGAGAGTTCATAATCCTGCCTTTATTCGGAGAGGTAAAATATTATCAACTTTGAGGAGTGGTCTGTGCTGGGTTAGCTGCTTGGCATCAATGGCTAAAGGCTGAGAAGGATATATAAAAAAAATTAGTCAGTGACCAAGCTGGAAAAAGTGTGCGTGTGAACATCAAGAAAGAACAGGAGCAATCTTGACTCACAATTGAATATTCTGTCAGCACTGGCCATCTTCACAAGAAAAATAACTTGGTCACGCTATTGAGGGATTGACCCACAGCAAGACTGTGTCTGCAGAAGTTTAACAAATCTTAGGATTTTCAATATGAGGAGTTTGCCTACAAAGTACACACAGTCACACAACTTCACAGTACTCACAAAATACATTCAGTCCACTTTACAGTATATCCCTTGAAGCACTTTGAGATGTCTCAATGATGTGATAAGGTGCTAAATCAAATGCAAGGATTATTATATCATGCTGTGAAGCATTTTAAGATGTCCCGACAATGTGATAAAGTACTACATCAAATGCAAGGATTATTATTAAGTTTTGGAAGGAACATTTCACAGTCTACCTAGTCCCAGCCGGGTTCATAACATCTCTCGGTTTAGAAACTTTTTTAAATAAAAAAAATCCCTGGTTGAAAACTGCTCAAGAAGTAACTGGTGGGAGCAGATGGAGACAGGCAGGAAGCAGGGAGGTACAGTATAGTGTGAAGGAAATTAAAAGCCGGGAGCGGAGAGACAGAAGTAGATCAAACTGCGATTGGTTTACATCTAGGTTCCAGAGATGAAAGAACGTTGCTGTAATATCCTGTGGCTCTGTCTATTTCAACTCGTGCAATCTTAAGTTTAAAAAGAAAGAGAATTCATGGTAGTTAACTCTCTTGTCATGTTTTGTTTTTGGTAGACTTCCTAGTTTTCATCTCTAATACAATAATAATAATAATAATCCTTGCATTTGATATAGCGCTTTATCACATCATTGAGACGCTTCAAAGCACGTCACAGGATACACCGTAAAGTGAACTGACTATTTTGTGGGTGAAACACGGTAGCCAATTGTACACAGCAATGTCCCACAAACAGTCGTGGATTGAGTTTTTTTTGGAGGGATTATTACCACCAGAAAGCGATCCGCCAATCGACTAACAACCGGGTTCCTACTTGCTGCTAGGTAAACAGGCGTGTGGGTAAGGAAACTTGGCTGAGGTTTCATCCCTCATGGGAATCAAACCTGGGTCCTCTCTTTTGCGCGGCAAGCGAGCTAACTACTACGTTATGGGACTCCATACTGTGTCTTGTTGATATACCTCTAATGTTGTCTAATCCTGCTGATTTGACGGACCCAAATTGCATTATTTATTTCCAGGTTTTTATGGTTCATGAATACTGAGAGAATTGAGTACTTTAAGATTTTAAATCAGGTCAGTGCCCACAGGCTGCAAAATCTAATCATCAAGGCATGCTTCAATAAGATAGGATAACAAGGACCCACAGCTTAAGTAGTGAGCAGCATTATGTATTATGGTCTACTTTTTGGAAAGAGTTCAGCATTAAGGTTTGAAAGAAAAAAACATCCATCTTAGGATCACCAACCACAGTATACACAAACCTTTTTATGTGTCTTTTTTTTCTTGCAGTGTGACACAAAGCAAATAATACACGCGTTGAGTTGGTCTTATGGGGAAAAAAAGTTCTGCTTGAAGAAAGATGTCTCAGTTTTATAGGAGACCTGAATTGATTTGTTTTAGGCTAAAAATTGATAACTGCACAGTGAAACACTAGTAAAAAAACATGAGACCTGGAAGAGAATTTTTGTGTTTTAGCCACTGAGCATTAAGAGCATATACGAGAATGACATGCAATCAGGCGATGAATGATTTCATGATATCCTGTGATATTATGAAATGCTATTATAGAAAGATGAGGGCCTTGGTTCAGAATTGCGAAGAACAATTTCAGGACAGACGTTTGGAAGTATTAGCAGGTTAACAGGAATGGAGTCTGCAGTAATCAGAATATGCACTAATACTTTGAACATTTTCACAAATTGTGTTAGATGTGGGATCTGGACTTGTACCATTGAGGTGCTTTCAAATAAGTTCTTTGACAGGCTTTCCAATTTGAATATCCTCGAAGGTAGTTCACAGGTTAAGGAAAAAAAATCCCTTTCTGATCAACTCTAAAGCTGCAACGAATTGGATATAGTTATTGAGATCACATCTTAAGTAAGAGCGCTTAAACTGTGATCTCAATAACTATATCCAATTATTTGTAGCTTCAGAGCTCTGCCCTCCTGTCTCAAGGACATGAACGTGCAGGCAGGAAGACTGAAAGTGGAGTTAAATGGAGAAGAGTCTGAAATCCTAGTTTGCAGTAAATCCAGTTACCTGCAGATGGTGCTATTAAATGCACTGAAGGAAAAAAAGGCAATTCTGATTGCTGGAACCTGGCCTGTTCTCAGAGTGGGAAGGAACATATGACCTGTAGTACAAGACTTAGCAAGTTAAATCATCTAATCAGTTGTCTTCATTCAACCAAAACCAATATATTTTTCCTTCTTTTAGAGGACAGTAGGAATATAGCATGCAGTGACTGGATTCATTAACCACAAAACAAGGCACCTTAATAATAAACCAATCGAAAAAGTAAGATTATCCTGGATGAGACCAGGACAAAACTAGACTAGGGTTAACCAGAGAGGAACCAAATAAATTCAAGTTGGGATATCCAAGTTTGGGTTAAATATATCTTGAAGGGTTATTCAGGTTTAGATAAATATACATGACAAAGTTATGGAGATGTGACATAATAATTCTGACAATCTCATTGATTGAACAACATTTTGGCACAATCATAAATATAATACAATGGGAGACGATTTCAACAATTTAGAAAAGGCAAAATACTGCAGATTCTGAAAATCTGAAATAAAAACAGAAGTTGTTGGGAACACTCAGCAGATTCATGTCCTCGAGACAGGAGAGCAGAGCTCTGACCATTTTGAGGTCAGGCAGCATCTACAGAAAGCAGAAAGTGGGTTAACATTTCAAGTCGATGACCTTTCGTCAGAACAATCTGACATCAGGCTATTCAAATAAATGAATTAAAAAAATGAAACAAAATGAGATTTTCAAGAGAATTTATTTTGTGGCCACTGTTAATAACATTAAAATTGATTTTGGTATTCTGAGCATGTACAGAACAGCAATACGGTGTCAATTTTCTTATGTTGAAGAAAAACCCTCAACTTGTCCTCTTTTCCTTCAATACTAATGAGCTATTGCTTTTTTGGATAGGATTAGAAAACTAGAATTCGACCTGATGAGGCAGAGAAAAATGATCAATAAGCAGGGGAAAATGGCTAATTTCACAAATAAATTGTTCCATCTCAGTAATATGCAGCAGTTGATGTCAGAAGCACAGAAGATGATTTTTTTTACACACACATTTTGTGTTTTGCCTTTGAAGACGAGCTATTGCTAATAATTCAAATGTTTTGGTAGCTAGCTCATCATTTATCATAGGCAGACGATTAATTCAATGATGCAGCAAAACATGTGAGAAAGCCTTGCAAGTGCAGTGTGACAGATGGTGCATTAATGCATTAACAGCAGTTACAGTATTGAATGTTAATGCACTTGGTTTCTGCAGTGGAAGGACAGTGTCGGATGATTCCAAGCACAAATCCTGATGCTGAAAAAACTAATCAGTATTAAAGCTTGGGGAAAGCCACAGGGATGCCCAGGCAGGCCCAATTCAGCTGTCACTGTAATACCAATCTCATTATCAGTTTGTTTGTTATCAATACATTAAAACCTCATTACAATAAGCATTAAATCACCTGTTAACTAACTCCATAGCAGAGAGTGTCAGACCTTGACAAGATTATGCCCCTTCCAGGTAAGAGCTATTTTTTGAGATCAACAAGAGATGAACAACAGAAGGGTATATTAATGCTTTCTTGGATCATTTCTAAGACTTGTGTTCTTTACGATTAAGAGAACGACTACATGATAAATTCATAGACTGCTTTAATTGTTTAATGTGATCTGGGTTTCAAACACGGCACTATTAAGGCTAGTATTGGACTCAACATTATCATTATATTTTGTCCACATGAATATTTTGACATTGTATTTTCTTTTTTGCATAGAAAGTACATTCCCTGTTGTCTTCCTATCTTAGGCCATGATTTCTTTAACACATAACTCATCATTTATTACACTGGAATCCTTTCAATTTCCAGGAACTACTCAAGTTATTTTATGAAATCATTTATAAATCTTGGTACCACTGTCTGTGGTGATTGTTCCACATGCCTGTCAACCTTTTATATCAAGCTAAGCCAAGTGTCATCCTGGCTCAGTTGGTAGAACTCTCACTTCTGTATCAGAAGGAGGTTGGATCAAACCCCATGATGGAATTTTGATCTCACACAGTCAAGGTTGACATTTCAGTACAGTGCTGTGAATTTGCTGCATTGTCTTCCTTCAGATGAGACGTTGAAGTGAGGTCCCATTTACCCGTTCAGGCTAACGATAAAGATAACATGGCAACATTCAAAAAGAGAAGGGAATTTCTCCCTGTGTCCTGGCCAACAAATTTCTAGATAAAAGTAGTCATTCGCTTAGTGTCTGTTTGTAAGTTATTGATATGTGCAAATTGGCTGGCACATTCACCTACAAATGTACATTCATCACCACAATTTACAGTAAATCCTGTTTAGTGCTTTGAGACATGTCAACAATGGTCTCACACCACAGGCATCCGAAACCCTCATACGAGCATTCATAACATCCAGGCTTGGCTATGCAAACTCATCACTTATCGGCCTCCCTAACTCCTCCCTCCCCAGGCTGCAGATCATCCAGACCTCTATAGCCCATGTCCTCTCCCGCACTAGGCTCTGTGACCCTATCACCCCTATCCTTGCCTGACTCCACTGGCTTCCCATCACACAAAGGCTCAGTTCAAGATCCTGGTCCTCACCTTCAAAACCCTCCATGGCCTCGCTCCGCCCTACCTCTGTGACCTCCTAACGCCCTACCTTGGGACGTCCTCCCGACGTGAAAGGCACTATAGAAATGTAATTTTGTTGTTGTTGTAATAAGGTGCTATATAAGTATTGTTATTACTATCATTGCTAAAATAATTCTTCAGCTCCTCTAATTTGCTTTTATTTTCCTTGTGTAGCTAAAACCCCTTGATGTTATTTTGTACAAGGCAGAAAAATTAATCTGCACCCAAAATTTCTAAAACCTTTAATTGTAATTTTCTAATTTAAATTCTAACATACGATCATTTGTCAAGGTATACATTACATTATATCTGATGACGCAGAGAAAAATGATCAGTAGTCCAGGAAAAATGGCCAATTTCTTTCAAGATAAATTGGTCCATCTCAGTAATATGCAGTAGTTGATGTCAGAAGCACCGAAAGTGATTTTTTAAAAAAAGGATATTTTGTGTTTTGTTTTTGAAGACAACTGCTAATAATACAGGCCTTTTAATAGCTATCTCATCTTTCATCATGGGCAGACAATGAATACAATAATGAAATACAGCAAACATGCGAGAGAGCCTTGTGAGTGCAGTGTGGCAGATGGTGCATTAATGCATTAACAACAGTTACTGTGTTGAATGTTAATGCACTTGGTTTCTGCAGGGGAGGACAGTGTCAGATGATTCCAAGCACAAATCCTGATGCTGAAAAAACTAATCGGTATTAAAGCTTGGGGAAAGCCACGGGGATGCCCAGGCAGGCCCAATCCAGCCAACACTATAATACCAATCTCATTGTCTGTTTGTTTGTCATCAATACATCAAAACCTCATTATAATAAGCATTAAACCTGCTGTTAAATGACCTTTACCACTGTTCCCAGTAGAGACTCCATAGCAGAGAACGTCAGAACTTGATAACGTGATACCCTTTCAGGCAAAAAGAGCTATTTTTTGAGATGAACAAGATTGAACAGAAAGATATAATAATGTTTTGTTTGATCCTTTCTTGGCTTGTATTGTTTGAATATTAAGAGAAAAAACTCCATAATAAGTTCATAGATTTTGCTTTAATTGTTTAATTTTCTGGGTTTCTAACAGGCACTACTAAATCTCGTATTAGAATAAAAATTAACATTATATTTTGTCCACATGAATATTTTGACAGTTACAGTATTTTCTTTTTGCTTAGGAAATACATTCCCTGTTGTCTTCCTGTCTTAGCCCATGGAATACTATTTGCAATATAGTGATGGTTTCAAGCAGGAGTACTGGTCCATCGAGCCAACCTGTCCAATTTCCCAATACATTCCTTTGACACTTCTATCTCATCATTTAATACACCTGAATTCTTTCAATTTCTAAAAGGTTCTCTTGTTTCTTTATGAAATCATTTACAGGATTTTTGTACCACTGCCTGTGTTATTTACTCCACATGCCTGTCAACCTTTTACATCAAGCTAAGACAAGTTGGTAGAACTCTCACCTCTGAGTCAGAAGGGTGTTGGATCAAACCCCACTACAGTGCAGTGCTGGGGGTGTGCTGCATTGTCCGAGGTGCCATCCTTCGGACAAAATGATAAAAGGAGGTCCTATCTGCCAGCTCAGGTGAACGTTAAAGATAACATTCAAAACTGGAAGAGCATTTATCTCTGTATTCTGGCCAACAATTTTCCAGGCAAAATTGGTCGTTTGCTCAGCAGTTGTTTGTGGGTGTTGTTTACAAATTGACTGCTGTATTCACCTATATCAGTGTATCATCATCACCACACTTTGTAGTAAATCCGGTTTGGTGCTTTGAGACATTTCAGCAGTGTAATAAGGTGCCTCATCTAATGTAAGTATTATTATTACTATCATTGCTAAAATAATTCTTCAGCACCTCCAGTTTGCTTTAATTTTATTTTTGTGGCTATGACTCCTTGTTCTTATTTTGTACAAGGCAGAAAAACAAAACTTTATGCCAAATTTCTAAAATCTTTAATTGTAATTTGACTGATTTCAATACGACCATATGATCATTTCATAAGACATAAATTGCATTATATCTGATTTATTTTTCTGGGAGCCTTTGTTCCTCACTCCCACCCAATAATGCCTTCAGGTGGACTAACTACTAAGTAAAGACCTAGAAAAATAGCCAAAGTCAGAAACATTTAAATTACAACCCTTCGCTCACATCATTTGGTTTTCTGGCAGGACATGAAAGTACTCCATTACCACAGTAAGCGACCATTGATTAACGAGCACTGATTGAATAGAAATTCTTTGAAGATTGGTGCAGTGTATAGTCAATCACTCAATTTTACTAAATTAATATGAACCCAATCCTCATCTTCTCAATCCACATAAATAGTAATAAACTGGCTGCCACGTTTCACCCACAAAATATAGTCAATGCATTTTACAGTAAATTCTGTGAAGCGCTTTGAGACATCTCAATGACGTGATAAGGTGCTATATCAAATGTAAGGATTATTATTATTATTATAAACATACATTATTAATACCCTTAAGAAAGGGATCCGTTTAAAAAGTTTAAAAACATTTTCTCGGGACAGAAAGAAGGAACGGTTACGGTAGTGCGAAGATGGCCGAACGCTTGGAAGAATCTACAAATGTTAATATTCTACCTTGTAATTGTCATGTACTTTACTGTTCCAAAATCCAGTCGGGACCAATTTTTTTTGGATTTTCTGGGGCCATATTTTTAAATAGGACGAAAAAAAAACTGCTTTGCAGGGCCATTTCTCCCTTGAAGTTCTTCGATTGCCTCTGGTTATTGTGGAATGTAATTGCTATTCAAGTGTTACCAGTTGATGTCACTCTCTCTCTCTTCTCTCCCAGCCCTGAGGAGGAAGAGGAGGAGGGGAGGAGATTGATGTTAATCAGGTTGCCCTACATCACTCCATCCCCGGATGGATGACTTCATTCTTCCGCCCTGGGTTTCCTTTATTGTTGGCGGTGGGGTCCCCGACTCTCTCCAGAGCTCTCCAAACCAAGTCAGAACAACATCTCCAGCCACAGCAGCAGGGCAACAGCAAAGCCTTCTGCTCCCAGCCCAACCCAACCCTCCAGCCACCCCACCAGCCAACCCAACCCTCCAGCCACCCCAACCCTCCAGCCACCCCAACCACCCCACCAGCCACCCCACCAGCCACCCCAACCCTCCAGCCACCCCAACCCACCAGCCTCCCCAACCCACCAGCCACCCCACCAGCCTCCCCAGCCCCAGCCCTAGGATTACCCGCAGAAGAGGCACCTCCTGAAACTGATGCACATCAATTTCACCAGGTGATTTCAGAGAGGGAGTGCTTTTTTTTCCTCCTATTTTTCTCTCTCTCCCTCTCCCTCCTTCCCCCTTTTTTTTTAAATCTGGTTTCCTTCTTGGAGGTACCATGTCGGAGATCCTGCCCTACAGCGAGGAGAAGATGGCTCATTTCGGCAGCGACAGTGAAGTCAGCCAACTCTCCTTCAGCTGTCGCCTCCAGGACACCAACACCTTCTTCGGGGGCTCCCAGCCCAAGAGACCCCCCAAACTGGGGCAGATTGGAAGAGCCAAACGAGGTAAGAACGAAACAACATCCCCCCACCCCCACCCCCCCCCCCCCCCCACCCTCCAAAAAACAAAACCCACAACAAAATAATTCTTTTAACTCGAGATTTAACGTATCATTTCACCCCAGTTTCATTCCTTTTGTTTTTCGAAACCACTTGAATATAAAAATCCTGTTAATTTTATTTGCAATGCAACACCTTTTAATTTCTCTTTTTTTTTTGCTGGACAGTAACCATTGGTGTATGTGTGGATGTGTGTGTGTGTGTGTGTGTGTGTGTGTGTTTTGCTTGATTTGAATATTAAAAAACATGTAAGAATATGGAAATCTACTTTGCTTAATACCCAAATTCTGGGTTTATTCATAATGCAGCCAAATTTCTTTCGCTGAAAGCAGCTCAATTCTAATTTTCTGACTGATGGAATCACATTTAGTTGCCACATAGCCCGCGAGAGTCCATCAGTCTTATATTTTCAAATCACCCATTTCTTTTTCAATTCATTTTTAATGAGGGTCATTACATTTTGGGGGCATTTTTGTACAGTTGATTAATCTACCAGTTAATTAAAATCGTCGCCTAAATCTTGTTCAGAAATCTTTTTCTTGGTCTGTCCCTATATATGTGTGTGTGTGTATATATATATGTGTGTGTGTGTGTATTATATATATATGTGTGTATATATATATATATGTGTGTGTATATTGACATATATATGTGTGTGTATGTATATATATGAACCGATTTCTTGCATTCATGCCATTTGGATTAAACTCAAATTTGTGAAATACTCTCAGCATCTTTTTGTTGTATTGTATTACTTCATTCAGAAGGGTAAAAGGAAACTGTATCCATTTGACGTTTTAATGGATCGCTTTCTAACTTTTTTAAATTGTTAATTCATTCGTATGTTTACTGCGGCAGATCTCTAAATTAGATACAAACAACCTACAACCTATTATAGTGTATATTGATTATATGTTTTTCATTTTTGTTATTGGTAGATTTATCCGCTGATGTGTTTTTTTTTGGTACCCAAACATTCTTGGCTCTTGTTTCATGCACTGTGTTGACTGCAACCTGTTCCGCTCAATTTGTCTTTGGCAGCAGTCAATGTGCCCATCACATACCCTGACTGATCCCTGGGACAGAATCTCACAGCGAGAAACCAAGGGACACCAGGTTTACACATTTTTTTGGTGAAATTTCGTCTTATATATTTTTCTTATCATTGGAAAAACTGCATTTAACCCCTTAAACTGCATCTTTGCAGCACAAACAAGTGAACTTCGACTGAGACGTAACGCCACAAAAAAAATAGCATTTTTTTTTTACCTTCTATTGATATTTTAAACAGATTAATTTGTGAAATCACTTTGAGTGTTTGCATTTTATTCGTGGCCATTGGTTTCTGGTTGTGATAGGAGTTATGCAATGTATGTGTGTGGACCACCCCCCCCCCCTCCACACACCGCGGGCTTTGCTATCATTGCTTTCCACTCTGATCCTATTTATATTCCATTCTTTGCACATATTTTACAGGGCTGTTTCCGGAGGCTAAATTATTTTTTTTTCTTAATTTCACAGTTGTTATCGAAGACGACAGAATAGATGACGTTCTGAAGGGAATGGCAGATAAAAATTCCTCTGGAGTGTAATCTGGAAGGGTGGTTTCCCTGATTTTCAAACTATTTAACTGTTTTTTTTTAAAAAAAAGCACTTTTGGCTGTGCATGCGTTTGTGGATTGTGCAGAGAGATTCCGGTGGCTTACTGACCAATCTCCAATCCAAACCAATGCACACAAATTGAGGAGCTGTCCATTTCAGCACCATTCGGTCCAACCAAGGCACACAGGTTAAGCTGTGTCCATTTCAGTTCCAATCAAAGCCAAGCCACTCAAAACAGGGAGCTGTTCCTTTCAGAACCTCAATCCAAATAAATGCACAGAGGTGTTTTTGACCTGGCCCACCCTAGCACCGTCTGCCCAAAACTAATGCAATAGGGTTTGAGGCACTGTGCATTTTAGGACCTAACCACCCACCACAGCGGCTGATCGGAGACAGTAACGGCCAGCAAAAGCGACACCATGGTGGAAAGAAAGAAAGAATGAAAGAAAGAGAAGACAAGGGATGGAGAGAAGAGGTTTTTTTTGCATCAAAATAGACGCATTTAATTCCATCTTGTTGCATGAGCTTCCGGTCATGGTGCCAATGTTGGTGCCATCAGTCATTAACAGTTTGGCACGCTTCTTTCTAACGGAAGTCTTGGTACTTGTATTTTTATATCTAAATCTTTGTAAAAACAAATGCTAGTCCATGTATTGTATTGCATTAAAGAATGTTTGTATTTTTTGTAAGGTTGCATAGACCAGACCTATTCACGTGCAGGGCTGATTGACTGTCCTTGGTCTGTTCTGTATCAGTATTGGAAGGAGACTTATTGAATGTTTGTTATTTATGAACCACTTGGTCTTTCAAGTTTTTTTTAATTTATTTGATTTGTTTTTGCACATATCAATGTTCAAATCTGTATTTAAAAATCTATATTGTGAATAAACATTGCTAATGAATTTGTGAAACATGGAGAGTTAGAAAATGAATGAACTGTTTAAAAGGTTATATAATGCGCTGTTAACACTGACTATTCTCTTTTTGGACTCTTGAAGCTGTGTTTTTTTAATTTTTGTAATATTCTTTTATGAAGCTTAATATTGTTACATGTGCATGTTAACATGAGGCATAATTTTCAATAATGAAAAATCATTCCAAGGATATATAAAAGCAAAAAAATTGTAATGACATTCTGAGAATGATTCATTGTACATTTTATGACCATTTTCACTGTATTTGGTGAATAAATAAATGGTTGAAGGCTATGTCTGCCAGTAATTGATTCCTTTTTTTGACATATAATCACACTTTGCAAGAAAGAGTGAAATAAAATGATAAAATTTTTAACATGTTGAACATTTTGGTATATATTAGTCAGATTTAATCACTAATTTGCAATTTCCAACTCCAGATAATGATCAGACGATTGTAATTTTTTTTAACTAGAATTGACTCGAGTGCAAGTTACCTCATTGTGTTTTACAGTTTATTTTCTAAAAGGAATAGAAGAATCATAAATTTTATAATTAGTTTTTTGCTACTGCATTTAATTCTCCAGCAGAGACATGTCATTCTCTTTCAGATCTCTCACTAATAGTAAGTGGTATTCTACATTTGTTGGATTGTAAATACTGTATATTGATGGGGCCAAGCTCCAGTCCCAGCTGAATGTGAAATGTAGGTCCTCTGGCTCAGAATCTAATACTCTTTTACAATATTACTAACTCTTAGAACTCAAATACTTTCCTTCACTTTGTAAAATTGGCACTAAGTCAGATGATATACACAGGTAAAACGACTGGAGCTGGATGCAAACATCAGAAAAAAAAATCCATCTTAAATGTAAAAGTCAACAACTGTGAAACATGGGAATAAGTGGTCGTTATCACCCAGGATCCTGGTTAAATGGACCGCCAACATTTAAAAGGGGAAGACTTATCATTCGAAACCACACTACTTGTACTTTCCCATGGGAGAAAAATCTGAAGAGGATTTTAGTACCAAGTGAATAGATCAGATTGGATACATATAGAAATCACATTCACAGTAGGAAAATATAAAAATCTTAAACCAATTAAAGAGATAATTTAGCATGAGGACAGATAAAGTCTGGTTTTACCCCTTTTCCAATTGAAATGACTATCACAGAATGGAAAAGATTATCTATTATTTTGCCATATTTATTCTGAAAATCAATTTAATTTGGCGTAACTTTCATTTTTTCCCAAATAGCATGAGTTAATAAGTGTTTGACAGTAATATACAGTGACATTGATTTTAACTGAGTGATTTATATTTAAGCCTAATTGAATTTAAAATAATTGCTTTCTAGATAGTTTTATGCAACAAAACCCAAGAGATTCCAATGGTGGCTGATAGAGCCTCATTATGATTCCATTTCTTTACTGTAGGTTAGACCAGAGGATAAAAAGTGGATTCATTAGGATGGGTTATCAACGTTTTGTCATATGGTTCATCAAGACGTTGAAACTGAATTAACTGCAAACTTGAATGCCATAGATCTGAGATGCAGGTCTGTTCACCACACAAACTTTATTTCAGTTGATTGAGATTAATTAGTTATTACCCATGTAAGAAGGTAAGGGATTGCTTAACATTTACCATTTAATAAGAACATTTTGGGGGGGAAGAGGAGCCAACTAATCTGATTCAGCTAAACTCTGATTCAGCTAAACTTCTCTTCTAAACTAAACCTGCGAGTTAATCACAGAATGATCAAGGTGTATTTTTGTAAATTCATGACCATAGCCATGTTAGGTGGTTGAAATAGAATCCATAATAACTTTTAAAGGGGAATTAACAAAGTATTTTTGGTGAGCCATTAGTTCTGGTGAAGCGGCATACTCAAAAATATTATCTAATGTTTCTGTTTCAGGTGTTGGTTGCTCTGCTGTGCATTTCCAGTATTTTCTCCCTTTAAAGATGAAATGGCTTATTTCCCGTCTAGCAAAATACAACCCTCGAGCACGCAAGTCACAACTAACTTCATTCGATCATTATGTGCAATTGGTGACATTCTTGACAGTCTTTCTTGTTTTAAAAAAATTAGAAATCTAGATGGACTAAAGCTCACAGCAAATGACACAGCCAAAATGTCATACTTTCTGGTCAAACAAGATTCTGCAGCAATGGACAAAGAAGGTAGAAAGTAGGAGAGGGTGGTGGACATGTGGAAAATCTAAGTGTAAGGCAAGAACAATAAAAGGTTTCAAATGGAAGTAGTAAAGTTTCTGGAAATTAAAAGGATTCAGGGCTATTAAATAAAGAGACTGATAAATCGATCAATTCTATTGGGAAATTGGATAGGTTGGACAGTAGGCCTACTCCTGTCTGAAACAGTTACTATGTTACTGAAGAAATTGGTCCAAGGGGTGTTACAGTTCAATGAAGCGCAATTCCACATGGAGTTTCCAGGCATTGAAATCACTTACACCACCATCAAAATGAGCAGAGCTTCTCATCCAGTGCTAAGATATTTGATTTTCAGATAAATCCACAATAAGTCCCTTCACACTCTTTACTCTGACTTCTTGCTTTTGAAGTGACAGAGGAGATTTAATTACTTGAAACAAGGCTGCTGCAGCAATGAAACTGGAGCTTAATGGATTTAATGCCAACGAGCCCTGGAGACACAAGACGTTTCTGGCATCTAAGTAACTGGTAAGCGATGGAAGTGTCTGTGATGCGGGGATTTCTTTTCTAATAAACCATTAAAAGGCAAATACAATTAGCAGGGGGATCATTCAGAGGATAATGAAGAAATGGCAATACAACTTTCAAATATAAGGAACATAAACTGTTCCTTTTCTATCTGTAGATCTCTACGGAATTTACCTGCAAGGCAGTCGGATTTACTCTGTGCGCGCATGTTTTCAGAAAAACCCTTTTGAGAGCAACACATACACACGCACCAAAACAAAATATGCCATTTTCATCTGTTGCAGTGAATCATTGTACAATAGCTGGAGATCAAGAAAAATAACAATTGCATTCCTTCTCTGGAATAAGCATATTGATAAATAAAGTTTTGATGAAAAAGAATCATGGCACAAATGGAAATCTGCATAGAGCAGATGTGCTCAGAGCAGTCCCCTTGCTTGATTTTACTCAAATATGCTTTCTAAAATATTTTCAGGATTTCAAGGAGACAATAACCTTCATTTAACGTATATCAATCATTTCACATTCATAATGTTTTCTTTAATTATTAGATCTCAACACGTTATGAATAAGCACAGATTATTAAGAATGCTTCCAAATTACAGCCAGCCTGAGCCCATTTACATGAAGTTACTGGATAATAATGTGTATTATCAATGTATTGGTAGTTTCGTTTGTCAGGATGATCCACTTAGGGCATAAAAGAGGGCATTTCGAGCATTTAATTGGTTTACTGGGAGATAAAAATGTCAAGAAACCTCCTGTGGCAGGTTTAATGAATATTAATAAACTCCAAAAAATGGATTGTAAAAGGTTATTTATTTTGGAACAAAGGGAACTGAATGGAATGGTGGGGAAACGAATTAAGAAAATATATCTATGGGATCTGTGTGAAGATGTAAACCAACAAAGAAGGAAAAGGACCTGTAACCGGTCTAAAAATCTCGAAGGTCTTTAAAAATACATTTATTCTGTGATTTACTGGTTTGTTATTCTGTGATTTTAATTCCACATCTGCAAAACTGCATCCATCTTTCTGGCTGTTTTTTGCTCATCTTCTTTATGTGATGTTATTGGTCACTGAAGTCTGCATAATTACGCTGGGCAGCTGTGATATTTCATTGTGACACTCTTCTGTTTTCCCGTTTTCATATAACAAAGTTATTTGTCCAGCTCTTTGAGATGTTTCGTAATTTCTTACCAAATTAATGGTATAGTGTAGTGCCATTTGTGGAAGAATTCTCTGGATGGACCTCAGCTGAATCAAATATTGGCATGACAGGTTGAACCTCCTCCATTCCATTGCTTGGCTAAAGACAATGAGCTTTTGCTGACTTTAAGGAAAGCTGGTTTTATATGGGTACTGAAGCTACAGTGAGTAAATTAAGACTATGACCTTTAGAACAATTGGCTGCTGATACCAACAAATGTCAGTGGGAGCTATGTGTATGGTATTTTGCATCAGCCTGGTGCAGTGGTAGCACTCTCACCTCTGAGTCAGAAGGTTATGGGTTCAAGACCCACATCAGGACTTGGAATCACACAGTCTAAGCTGACACTCCAATGCAGTGCATTGTCGGAGATGCTGTCCTTCACACAAGATGTTAAATCAAGGTCTTGTTTGCCTGTTCAGGTGGCTGTTAAAGATCCCATGGGACTATTCAAAAGAGAAGGGAGTTTCTCCCAGTGCCCTGAACAACAATCCCCCCCCAAAATAAAGTGAGTTTGTGATTTCTGGGTTTGGAGTGGCTGTTGTATCAGGAGGAGCAGTTTGGTTGAGAGATGGTTCCAGATTTCCAAGAGGGGTGGGGAACACATATGTTCACTGTA